ATTACCTTCTGCAACCTGGATATAGGTTGCTTCTATCCAGAACCCTGAGGTGATTCTGCAAGTGCAAAACAGTGAAATACCATGAAAAGTAAAGAAATTCTGAGCCATGTGAAGCAAATCTAAATCCACAAGTCTGAATGGCATTAAACACTGAGATAAATCTCAGCCTGCACTTGTTCAAGCCCAGACTCAAGCATTGACTCGGTGTGCAAACTTGTTACTTCTATTTACAGACCACAAAGTGTTTACCTGACTCTATCCTCCCCGACTCGATACTGTTCATTTTCTCTGACTGAACGTTTGGCTGCAACATTTCATGAGATAGATTTATACAGCCATAAATAATGAAATGATTATAGCTGTCCTTAAAACAACTGATGAAAGATATACACCATCACTCAATACTAGTGTCAAAAAAAGACTGTCAGAAAAATCACCTTACAGCAGAGAGGAAGCTTTTGAGCTTCACAGAGTGATTTCACCACATTTTTCCATCTGAAACACATTTTCCTTGTGCAGATGATTTGCACAGCATAAACCCATGTCAGTCAGCTGAAGGGCTGACCCCAGTCATCTATTCTGCCAGTACTCTATGAAACGACAAGAAATAGTCTCTGATCTCCTCGGAACCTCTGCTACAGACTTCAGGGGGAGGATTTTCTAGTGGATTCCCTTCAAAATTGCAGGAACAGTAGTTGTACCCCCAGTCCAGGTTGACCAGCTCCCCAAATCGTGGTGGAAGTGATCGCAGGTGGTTGTTTCCCAGCCAAAGTGTGTGCAGATTCCTTAAAAGACAGACATCCTCGGGCAGGTTTTCCAGCGAGTTGAAGAGCAGCAGCAACGTTTCCAGTTTCTCCAGCTGCCGGATGCTGGAGGGGATGGTGCGTATTTTGTTGTCGCTCAGGTCCAGGAAGGTGAGGTTGCTCAGCTGGCAGAGGGCTGCGGGCAGGTGGGTGAGGCTGTTGTTGGCCAGGTGGAGGCTGTGCAGCCGCTGCAGGGTCCCCATCTCTGGGGGCAGGGAGCTCAGGTGGTTGTTGCTCAGCGTCAGCCTCTCCAAGTTCCTTAAGGTACCGATTTCAGCAGGGATTTTCTTCAGGTTATTGGAGTCCATATAGAGGAGGGTTAGGTTCTTCAAGCGGCTGATCTCGTGGGGCAGCAGCTCCATGCGGTACCTCAGGCAGCTCTCTCGTTCTGGACTCATCTCCAGGGCCTGCAGCTGGTCCAGCCCAAAGACCTGTGCAGGGACTGATGCCAGATCTCTGCCTGAAATCTTCAGTTTCTTCTTTCCTTTGCACTTTGGATCGTGTTCTGTGAGATATCTCCAGTGTAAATCAGGACCCGTAGAGGTGCATCTGAAGGACATGGCTGCATTCATTCTCCCACCAGAAACTGCTTGAACCCAGAGCACAGTGGTGACTGATCATTTGTTGCTTGCACCACGGGCAACCACTGAGGTTCTTGGTTGACTGAAGCTCTCTGTCAGCTTTTCTCTCTGCCAGGCATATTAACAATACACATGCAGAGTGTTTGGGTTGCTCAGATACGTCCCACTGAGTAAACATTTGCCCTTCTCACATGGCCAGGTGCTTCCTTTCCAGCACTGCAGTGCACACAAAACCCACCTAATGGATTTTTTCTCTTGTTTCAGGCAGTCAGCTGGTGGCAGTGATCTGCTGGTATTCAGGAAGCGAAGGTGTTTAGAAAGTGAAACAGCGGGTGGGCAAACATAAAGTGGTTTTGTTTGTGGAATTCATGTTGGTCAGTCTCAGGGGACTGCAACTGAAGATAAAGCATGTGGTAAATGAAGCAAGAAGACAGACTCGGTGCTGGTGCCTGGGAGCTGGCAGCCAAGAAGAGGGCCTGCCCTCAGGGCAGTTGTGCCTTTAACATTAAGCAAACACAATAAAGCATAGGTTTTGAAATCTGAAAGTCCTCCTCTCTCCTGCTGAGTGTATGACCCTCAGTACCACAGAGATAGGATCTTGTGCTGAACTTGCTCTGGCATGTTTAAAAAGAATTTTTTATTCCTCACAACATACCTTTTGTAGGAGATGAGAAATACCAGGTTTATCCTAAGCCACTCAGCACAGCATGCTGTGTACAGAGAAGGGCATTTTCCCAGAAGGAGACAATTGTGGGTTTGAAGCCTCAGGCTGAGAAAGCCACCTCTTTTATTTCATCCTCTAATTCATATGTCTCTCAGATAAAAAATGCTTAGAATGACAATTTAAAATGCTTTTCATGAAGAAATTTCTTCATGAAAGGCTATTAAAGGCAGAACAAAATACCTTATAAGCATGGCCTGAAAAGATCAACCAGGTCAGGTCTGGGGAAGAGTGATGCTCCAGTTTTCCATCCAACATCAATAACCCATCCATCAGATCTCCTCAGCCCTGTGTTGCAGCCCTTAGCTTGCAGGGGCCTTGTATCCAGCACTGGGGAACTGTATGGCAGCACAGATGGGTGGGCAGAGTTGAAAGCCCTCTAGCCAGAAAATGCTGACCAGAGGATTTCAGGATCATAATTCAAGCTCCGAACTTACAATTTAGGTTATTCTGTTTTTTAATGGATTTGCCCTGAGATACAGATTTTCGGTGCTGTTACAAACCAACCCTTGGCTTGGATTCAGCATGCAAATGCCTTAATCCTGTTGAAATCAAGCTCTGGATTTCTTTCAGATTCATCTTCAGCATCTATAAGACAAAACCATGTCACTAATCTGGTATCTGCCAGTGCTTAGAGGTTGTTATATGTTATGTATGTCCAGGTGAAGGTCGGTAACAAGCAGCGTCCCCCAGGGGTCTGTCTTGGGACCAGTGCTCTTTGACAATGACACTGATGGCGGAATCGAGGGCACCCTCAGCAAGTTTGCTGATGACACCAAGCTGAGTGGTGCAGTTGACACGGTGGAAGGAAAGGATGCCATTCAGAGGGACCTCAACAGGCTTGAAAGGTGGGCCTGGGTGAACCTGAAGGGGTTCAACACAGCAAAGTGCAAGGTTCTGCACTTGAGCTAGAGGAATCCCAGGCATCCATACAGACTGAAAGAAGCGGACCCTGAGAGCAGCCCTGCGGAGAAGGACCTGGGGGTCTTGATGGGTGAAAAGCTTAACATGAGCCAGCAGTGTGCTCTTGCAGCTTAGAAAGCAAATGACATCCTGGGCTCCATCAGAAGAGGGATGGCCAACAGAGACAGCGAGGTGATTGTCCCTCTTTATTCTGCCCTCATGAGGCCCCATATGGAGTACTGGGTCCAGGCCCCCAGTACAAGAAAGACAGAGAGCTGTTAGAGAGGGTCCAGAACAGAGCCACAAAGATGATCAGGGGACTGGAGCACCTCCCCTATGAAGACAGGCTGAGGGATCTGGGCTTGTTCAGCATGGAGAAAAGAAGGCAGAGGGGTGACCTCATTGCAGCCTTTCAGTACCTAAAGGGAGCCTACAAACAGGAGGGGAATCAACTCTTTGAAAGGGTAGATAACAGCAGGACAAGGGGAAATGGTTTTAAGTTGAGGAAGGGAAGATTTAGGTTGGATGTCAGGAGGAAGTTCTTTACTATGAGAGTGGTGAGGTGCTGGAACAGGCTGCCCAGAGACGCTGTGGATGCCCGGACCCTGGAGGTGTTCAAGGCCAGGTTGGATGGGGGCCTGGGCAATCTGGCCTAGTACTAAATGTGGACGTTGGTGGCCCTGCATGTGGCAGGAGTGTTGGAGATTCATGATCCTTGAGGTCCCTTCCAACCCTGGCCATTCTGTGATTCTGTGATTCTGTTTTTGAGTTATAAGCACCTGCAATGCCAGTAGTTTCTTGATGGAGACTACAAGCTATTGAGCTGGGAATATTACAGCTGAATGGATAACAATGTGAGCAAATCCTGTGGACACAAAGTGGTTACTCTTGTTCTTTAGGATCACCATTAATGTCAATGAGATCTGAAAGCTATGTTACCTTCATTAAGAAGTGGTGTACGTTTTACATTAAAAAAGGGTAAACAGAGGAAATCTAATACCTTTTCACAAGTAGGAATGGGTACAGTAGCCTGAAAATATATGTATATATCAAAGATGATTATAATAACAAAGGACAAGTGAGATTTTTTCACTTGCAAAGGAAGGCTTCTGACCAGAAATAACAGACCTCATAATTAACCATAAAAATAACACTGAAATACAATTCCCACCAAGAATGCTGAAAAAGTTCCTGCAATGAGCTGCATTTTAGACTTGAACAAAAGCCATCTCAATGTGTTTCTAAATATACATTGTCAGCTATGTCTGTCCTGTGAAACACAATGAACTGCTGTGTGTGCTGCTTTCTGCTTAAACACTCTTCTCTCTCCGCATCAAAATCCAAGCCTTTCAGACAGCACATCATGCTGACCAAAGCTGTGCTTAGAGCGAAAGGCTTTTCTGATGCTGGGCACTGCTCTCCCTATTGAACTGTTTCTCCCTAAAAGTATGACTCTGGGCTTTTCTTTAAAAGGCAGCAAGTTCTATTCTGCTCCATCTTTCAGGACATCCTTCTTCCTAATGCTGATCACTGTCTCATCAGGAACGTCAGTGTATGATTAATGCCTCTCTGTCACATTGTTCCCTTGTCCTTCCTACATGCAGTTTACGGTCCAATAAATAAAATTGCAAGAAGGAGACCATACTTTCAACACGTGATCCATTTAGAGACCCAGAAGGATATTCTCGCTCTCAGTTCACACAACTCCAATAAGAATATGCCAGAGTCAATAGTTTTAAATCAAGGTGCATGATAAATTCATAGTTTAGCCTGAAAATCTGTTTGGAAACCAACCTGGATAATGAAAAGTTCATCAGGCTTTTTAGGCTTTTAGGCCTAATTAGGCTTTTCTAATCAGTTGTGCACATTTCACAAGTCAAGACACAAAAATCCATTTGTGATTTCTAGGTTTAAACTAGATGGATGAGGGCAAGCATTCTTCCATTTCTTAACACAGCTTCACCAGTACAAGGTGATGAAATGAAAGCCCAGGCTCTGACGGACTCTTGTTAACCTACAAGAAGTGCCAAACTTAGGATTCAGGAAGCAACTAGATGGCTGATGCAACGATTCTCCCCATAAGCAGAGATGGCTTTGCAGGGTCATCAAGGAGGACTCCTCATGTTAGGATGCTCACCTTGTGCAGGGTTGCCACAAGGCAGCATCCTTTACCCAGTCTGACAGACTGAAAGAGCTGGTAGCGGATTTTTTTAGTAACTCAATGTTTTATTTTCTGTTATTTCCTGGCAGAAGGACAGTACACATTGGTGCCATAACATTGTCCATCTCCCTGTGCCATTCCCATAGTACTGAACACCTCATTGTCTGTAACACATCCATCCCCATATCAACCCAGTAGCAACATGAGCAACCCAGTAGCAACCCAGTAATGGTGAAAGACACACACTTATCAGAAGCTCTTCTGTCAACACCAGGCCAATTCAAGTAATGCAGCCCAGAGTGCTTCAGCTGATTACTTTAGGATGCTCATCCAAGGTCTAAACCTCACACTGGAATCACCTAAAAGCAGGTGTCACAGCCTAGCTCTGAGCATGAGATTCAGGAACCTAGACATAAGCATCTCACTTCATTTGAGATATACATAATCTCCCTCATAGACTCGCTGAAGATCTAGGATACTCCCAGGTCTTACATTGTACCTGGAAGTCTTTTAGATCAAGGAAGTAGAAGGAAGAAGTTTTTTACTATAAGAGTACTGAGGCACACTGGCACACATTGCCCAAAGATGTGGTGGATGCCCCATTCTTGGAGACATTCAATGTCAGACCGGGACAGGGCTCTGAGCACCCTGACCTAGCTGTAGGTGCCCCTGTTCATTGCAGGGGAGTTGGAGTAGATTACCTTTTAGGGTCCCTTCCAACTCGAATCCATGAAGTACTCTCTCGGTGTCTCTGGTTCCCAACACATTCTCAGATGATGATACCCAGACATGCATCAGCATCACATCCTGTTCAGAAGCTGCCAAAAAGCAGCCTGTAGCAGGTTAAGGCTTGGATAGTTTTCACATTAAAAGATCAAAATTTCTCCATATTTTTCTTTTTATTTTCTTTTAATTTTAATTGTATTTTTTCTTAATAGTCCAGAAAGTAAAAGATGTGCTCATCTCCCTGACAGTTCTATGCTCAGAGCACAGATCCGAGGCTTAGCTGCTGCTACATTTTTATTGCAGCTCTGGAAAAACACACACATTTGTTTCAGTCCTGAGCAGTACCATTTTGCTTTGATTACACATTTCTGGATAAACATGTGGAAATGAGTTCAACCTCAGACAGTTTAATTATCCCATATTAACAAGAGGTGTGAAAAGGACAGCTCAGAAAAACAACATCACAAGATTGTAATGAGATGAGCCTCTCAAAAGCAGCAAAGAAGGAGAATAATTTATCCCTTGCTACAGCTCCAAAAAAAGCTAATTTAGAGCAGTTCAGAATACAAGTGTAAATTGTTAAATAAAGTAACACAAAAACAATTTTACCCAAATTAATCTCTTTAAAATTTTAAATTATTTATTTGACAGGAGAAATGTATAATGGAATAATAGTTTGTTTGCTATAGCTGTAATAATTTACACAATTGATTAAAAAAACCCAACACTCTAGCAATATAGTAAGATGTGTGTATCATTAGCACCATGGTAACATATAGACAATGCATTCTCTGCCTCACTAATGCCATCTTATCAGTCTGTTCCCTCTTATCAGATGGCTGGCCAAAAAAAAATCATACAAAAATAACAGTGCATTTCTGGGATTAAATCTCAGACACTGAATAAACTTCACTGTGATGTACCAAATGCTTTGTTTCTGAGCCAGGAACATTGAGATGCAAAAGCCACATCCTCATCTTGTTCAAGAGTGGTCAGTAGAGCAGCCATACGCATTACCTCTGCCCTATCTTTCACCTCCTGCATCCACTGCTGCCTCGGAAGCTGTTTAGCAGACAGTATTGGGTGGCTATAAGCACCCCTGCAGAGTCTGCACCAACTGTCTCGTACTCCTCACTACTGACAGATTGTGCTTGGTAAATGTCATGTAACTGGCTGAAGAGGAAACGAGGTTTAAGAAAAAGCAGGGAAATGGTATCCACTGAAATCAGAACACAAAGGCAGGAATGGACTGAACAGGCAACAATAAAATAGATATTTCTATTAAATAATCTAATATTTCTTTTGAAGATGTCAATGTGTCTCATTTTCCTAACACAGACTGCTGCTGGCAATGGCTTTGAGAGACTTGCAGATGAAATGAGTTATCAAAGAAAATTAAAATTAAAATTAAAAAAAGACAGAACAACAAAAACTCCAGAATCTCCTATTTCCTTTATCTAGATTCCAATGCACCATTTTGGAGAGATGAAAGACCCTGGAATTTGTTCAATAGAGCACCATTATATATTTACCTGTCACATGGTATACTTGAGTGTATTAAAGTCTGAGCCATTCATGGTGTATGCAAATATGCACAATGCAGAATTTGGGGAGTTTCACATCATAGAATCATAGAATCACAGAATCATTAAGGTTGAAAAAGATCATCTAGTCCAATCATCAGCTTATTACTCATCACACCATGTCACATTAATATGGGACAACTAGCATGCCTGACCTCCATAAAACCTGCTCATTGCCATGATATTTACTCAAAATAATGGCTCATACCATGTTGAGAGGTCTCTCCTGAGTAAGAAGCTTATTCTACATCACCACTAGAGGAATAAAATCTCATTCATTCTGGACTAGAAAAAATGATGATGTTAAATACTATGTGATCAACATGCTTGCATAAAACTGAACTATAGAAAGCACTACAGTAACATATACTATTGAGAATTACTAAAAAGCAGTATGCTCTTCTCCTCATGATATTTTCACTTTGCTTGGTCTTTCCACAGACAGGATCACAGTAAAATCCAATAAAATAATTTACTTGCATAGGAAATAGCAAAAATGTCACCACTGAGATCTACATAAAAAAGACTGTTTAATCTTCTTGGTAAGAAAAAGACTCCAAGGTTTGCAAATAGTCAGCTTTGGGCTTATAGCTACAGTGTCTGATTTTGGGATGGTTATAGACAGCTGTGCCTCCTGCTTGGCTTAGCCACTTAGCCACTTTGGAAGCACCATGCCACATGGTGAACATGCCAGCAGGGCAGGGGGCCACATTTATCTCTCCAAAAGATCAGATGGGATTTCAAAACAGATTCAGCACTTAGTGTCTGTATCACGTTCGTTACTCTGATCACTCAATACAAACTGCTTATTCAGAAGAGTTTTGGAAATCTGGCTCTTCCATGTGTCTCTGTCAGAAAGTTAGATTGAATGCTGTGAATGTCTTCTCAGACTCTGTCCCCTATTTATTTTTTCAGTGAATTCCCAACTTGATTTTGGCAATGAGCTGATAGGCAAAACGGCCTGTGTCTGAGTTTTGTCTTTCACTCTCAAACACAATTTCTGAACACCTCTTTGTTCTGAACTTTTCATCAGAGATGAAAACCAGCCACTAATTTCTCACCTCCCTCTAAAACACAGCTTTTCCAAGTTGTTGTCATGGTGTATCATTCAGAACAGTGAAGTCAGGTGACACTTTGCTTCCTGAGATTTTTAACAGTAGAAGACATTGGTCTGGCAGAATTCTTGGGTGAAGAAGTGATAGAGCTGTGTGTGCACTGACAATGAAAAGTGGAATTGATAGCCCTGAGCTGATGGAGGATAATACTGTGGCTTTTTCAGAGGCATCTCCCAGACAGAAGGAAGACAAGCTCCATCTGATATGAACATACTCTTCATCTACTGAAGTTATTGCATGAGGAACAGTGATCCAGGCCTCACTGTGAGATTTCACATGGTCCCAAAAAATTGGCTTCTATAGAATTCCAATTCTTTTGTGGACAGAATAATAAACATAAAAGAGATCTTCCAAGGAACACTTTGCCTGTCCATTGTGAACTGAGTGCATTAGAGATCTCTTCCCCAGCTTTGGCATGACCTTATCTTCCTGTCCTCTGTGTGGATGGCAGCTAGCACCACAGTCCTGTGACTACACAGTTAATGCCCCATGCTGCGCAGTGCAGGATTTAATTTCAGTTTCAAGGCTAAAGCTTTGGAAAGAATTAACCACAAAAAGGAAAAAAAAAATTTGTATCAGATTGGTTTTGCATAAACTGCTACACAACGCATCAATGTTGTATGCTCTTCAAAAGAAAAAAACCCACATTTTTAATGTTTTAATATGCCCTGGTGTTAGAGAAACAAGATCAAATTCACATGTCACATCAGAGATAATAATAATTATTATTATAATTCATAAAAATAATCTGACCGACCGGCAGCATTTGTTGGCTTTAGAAGGCCTCCCATGAAAGAAACAAAGTTGAAGACATCTGAGAGCTCTTGGCAGGCTGGATGAATTCAAGTTTTAAAAACAAGTCTGGGGATACTCCCTGTATCCTAGGGCCCTTTGACATTGGCAGGCCTGGCAGCCAGGCTTGCATAGTAAGCGCATTGAGCAGGGTCACACTGTCCATTGGCTCCCGGAGGTCCCTGTGGGCCCATGAGACCAGGTACCCCAGCTTCACCTTGAGGGCCAGGTGGTCCTGGTATCCCATCTTTGGCATAGCCAGGCTCTCCTGGGAGGCCTAAAATAGAAACAAAATGCCCTTGGTGAGTGGCACTTCAGAGTGAAGTACTTAGTAGTACAGCATCACAGGAGATGGCTTTACTGCCTATACTGGGATGTAGGCATCACCTTCCACAGATTTGGGTCTGGCTGACATATTTCTATGAGAATGTGGCAAACATGACTCCTCTGAGAAATATAGAGAAATATAGGATATTTCCATCCTATATGTATAATTGGATTACACAACTGTGCTATGCTCTTAACACACTATGTTGTTGAAGTTGTGCAGCTGCACAGGCAATGACATCTAGTCCTCCCAGGGAGGCAGAGAGAATGGGAAAACTTGAGGCAAGAGTCATTTGTGGGAGATAACTCGTTGTGTGAAGTATAGTGGATTCATTGTTATTTTAAAGCGACGCAGGACCAGCATGCCTGATGCAGACTATGGAGTAATGAATTTTTTTTCCATAATTTCCTCTCCCACCAAAGCAGAGTGAACGTAAAGCTGATCAATGGCTCCTAATTACAAATTAGAAACAAAATTTATTTGCTTCTTGTTTATCAGCAAAGATAAAGCTTGAGCTATATGCCTGAAACAGAGGTGTTAGATACAATCTTTTATAGCAGGCTGAAGCTGCCTGGATCTCTGCGTTCATCTTGGTCACAAGAAGATTCTGGCGAGTGCAGATAAGGCACCACACTGTGTACCTAGCAAATAAAGCCTCACTTTGGACTTGTCCCAGAGGTCAGTTAACCTAACTCTTACTGACATGGGTCATTGTGTTTGCCAATCAAGCTGAAGAAACAAAGATGGCCACATATGATGCTAGTGTTTTATTTCTTCCCTTTGGGCCACTGGCTATGGACATAGCATAATGCCATTATTTATGTCAACTTGATTACTTACCTAACATAGAACAGACCTTTGTTTTTGTAAATGTTCTGAGTTTTATATATATATATATATATATACACTTTTGTGGATGTGTGTGTAGCTTTCTGAAAAAAACATACCTGGAATTCCTGGAGGACCTATTTCACCTCTCTGGCCAATGCCAGCATCTCCTTTCTCACCCTTTGCTCCTCTTTCTCCTGTAGAGAGGGGAAAAAGACAACAATTAATTAATAAGCCTTATCTATGGAACAAACTACCACAGATATTTTATCCACACTTAAACCAACATATTTGCTAAAAAAAAATAGTTCCTAATTGTTGTCACTCCTCTGAGAAAGGGAATAAGTGGGAATGAAGACCTAACCCACTTCAATTCTGACTGAAGATAAAACACACTCTGCAGTTGCTGGTCACATCCATAAAATCTGCTTTAAAAGACTGAGGCAGCTTCTATCAAAAGTTTTGAGTACTACTTTGATGCTATTAAGAGAAGAGGTGAATACCAAGATTGTTAAGCAATTTCAGCTTATTGCTTATATAACTGCAACATCTCAATAAAATCTGCCCTAGGTGAGTAAGACTATGATGCAAATTCAGGTCCTAGGTATTCCCAAGTCGCTTGGATATCTGGCAAGCTATGGGATGGTTGTGTTGAGATGATCGAGGCTTTCAGAAACTACAATTCTTAGAGAGAAAAAAAAGCAGATAAATAGCTTAATCAATTTAAAGTATTAATTTTTCCTTTAAAAATTAATAGAGCAAAATCCTTTTCAGTTTGCTTCATTTCCTAGCGTTTCACCAGAACTGCTTCTCACACCACTCCTCAGGATATTCTTTCTGGTACTCAATGGCTGCGCTAAAGAACATAGAATTGTAGAATAGCTTGGGTTGGAAGAGACCTCAAGGATCATCAAGCTCCAGTCCCCTGCCATGCTGGACATATCTCTTTATTGGATTTTCTAAACACACAAAGGTTTGCTCACCCTTGGGTCCAATGGGTCCAGGTGGTCCTTCAGATCCAGTCTGCCCAGGTCGTCCAGGCTCTCCTGGAGGGCCAGTTCTTCCTGGTAGTCCTTCTTTCCCAGGGGGACCAGGAGGTCCTGGTCTGCCATGGGATGCTTTCACATGTGCAGGCGGTATCTGCGCCAAGAGATAGGCTAACTTTGCTGTGAACAGAGGGGAACAGAGTTTATTAGACAAGAATATCAGTGCTCCAAATGATGGAGAGCTGGAAACATTGATCCACTAAAGTCCAAATAGAGAACTGATGAAATTTTCAGGACCATTCATTTGTTGTTGCCACATAACCCTTTCCCAAACACCATGATAGTACCATACATTCTGTAAATGATTTCAGCTTAATTTCTCCATAGTTTCATACTGCTCTTGAATATCACACACAATCCTAAACACTTATCTCTGTTCCTTGTTCAAGGAGGATCTGAACGTCCTTTTATTTAACAATACAGTTGGTGGATTTCTGTAAAACTCAGATCATAGCTGATCTGAAAAAAAGAATATTTCCACTGCTTCTGCTATGCAGTGGGATGCTATGTGGCAGCTCTTTAGGGAGAAAGTTTTCTTTTCTTGTTCTGGGCTGTTACACAAATGGACTGAAAGCCAATGTACTTATCAGCCAATGTACCCTGCCTGGGAAATCAGAAATTGTAACTAAGGCAGATCCCTGTGTCAACATATCATCTGAATTCCATGCAGTCACATTGCTCACAGCTCTCAAATTCAAAATCTTAGCAGCCTTGAGGGCTCTTTAGACACACTTAGCATCACAAAAACATCCAACAGAATGAAAGGAAAAGGGTTTTCTATGTTCTCTTCAGTGATGGAAACTCTTGACTGCTATTATGCTGGGATGGAAATCAAATTCTGAGAACATGTAAATAAACTCCTTCAAACAAATCACCTAATTTCACCATGATCTCTAGAATGGAGGAAAATGTGCTTGGATATGTTTCAGCCACTTCAAGAGCTGTGTGTAGAGAAGCACAACAGCTCTGCAATTCACTGTAGATATTCACTGTCGATATTGGCCTGGAATTCAAATGCTTTGAGAAAAACAGCAGCCTACATCCACTCTACATGCTCCCCTTTTACTGGTGGGCATCAAATGTCATTTTACACAAATGTGTCTTCCAGGAGACTTGTTGCAACAATGCCTTCTATAAGCAGAAGAGTTTCAGGTGTTAGCTGTAACACCACAGCTATGGAAAATTATCTTTCATGCTCTCAGATCTATCTGCTGGCTTCTCAGAGCTAATTACTTACCATCTAGCTGCTTAGCTAACTCCTCTTGGATGAGTCTTCTCAGAGTCTCTAGAGACGGAGGTTCCCCCTAGGGAGTAATAACTGTAGTAGTAACACAATATAATAATCACAGCCTGGGGATGTGAAAATGAAACTTTAGATGAAGTGACTAGAGGATTGCATTTCTTCACCCAGTGTACACACAAGGCTGAAGAGACTTGGAAGAAGAAGAATATAAAGGAATTCAAATCATCCATAATTTCCATGCTGTTGGTAAGCCGTGGACTCAATAGTGTAAGGAGGAAACCTGGTTGGAGGCTAAATCATAAAGTCATAGAATCATAGAACAGCTTAGATTGGAAGGGATCTTAAAGATCATTGAGCTCCAACACCTTGCCATGGGCAGGGTTGCCACAGGCTGCCCAGGGCTCCCACCCAATCTGGCTTTCATAAAATCTCTCTATACACTATTAGGATGAGTAATAGAAATTGGATCAGGAGACTTCTGCTCCACATGGCCACTGTGGAAAGCCTGCCTCTTTCTTCAGCACTGCAAGTTTCCTCCAGCATAGTTAAGGTAAATACCCAAAGTAGGTACAGGCACTGATACTGGATGTACGGCACGCTGACAGGCCTTATCTCAGCAGAACAGCCAATCTACACATTTACCCATTCTTCCAAGCACAAACAAGGTTCAGCCTGGCTGCAAGCTGTTGAAAGGAGGCAGGGAGACAGGGCTGCCTGGTCCTGGTCCATCCTCCGTGGATCAGTGCCCTTTGTCACCTCTCTCAACTCCTTCCTGTGACAGTGCTCTTAAACAGATGTAGTACCCATTGAAACTTAAAGATACGCAATAAAACTGTGTGTCCACTTGAAAAACTGATGAAAGCATTTTTGGTGGACTAGAAGGAGAATATTTTTGGCCAAGGCCTTCCAAGAACATAAAAAATGGTTTTAGGGAAATTAGACACATGTCTTCGCATATTTCGCAAACACTAAAGAATTATTTTAGGTCTGTTTCAAAAATAATCTTGAACCAACAAGATCAAATATTTTCCTTTGTACAGTGATATGTTTCACTTGAAAAATCCTTTTTTTTTAAAAAAAATGAAAATTGTTCTTTCCATCTGTTAGAAAATATTTCTCATCAGCTTGCTTTCTTCTGTAAATTTATATGAAAGTGGTTTTTGTCCCTCAGACTTAATACTTCTAACATATAATAATGCATACAGTCTCCTCTGTTTACAAAACCTTAATAAAGTCTTCAGAATCAGAAGTTGTTCTCCAGTAAGAAATTTAGATTTTTATTAAATAGCCAAGAGACATTTCAATTTTAACCAGTAAATTGCTAATAAGGATGGAGTTGATCCATTTGCTGCCTTCTTCCCACAGCAATTCTGTGTAAGGAAAATATGTGTTTGATGGTGACAAAAGCAGCAATTTTGTCCTTACTACTAACCACTTGTAATGGCTCTCAGTGAATATCCCAATAAGCAAACATCATTGTGGAACATAATTTGAAGGCTTACATATTATCTTTTGACATTTTAACTCTATTAGTTGCAAGTCTCCATAATCATCACTGGATAGCATCAAATCTCTGTGATGCAAAAAAAAAAATGTTTTGTCTAAAGTTTACCCAGCATTCACATTACTGGAGATTACTTTACTAGTTATTACCCCCCCCCGAGGTAATCTCAAATTCAGTCTCAGGATGGACATATCAGCTTCACTAATGTCAGGTCAGTCGTCGTTCTCATTCTTGTACATACATTACCCTCAGGCACTTTCAATAGCCAGATTGTTTCCCATTAGAAAAAAAGAAAAGAATATTAAATGAAAGTAGGATTTCATGAATTCTGATGAGCTGACTCCAAAATTTCCAGGAATAGAGCAGTGACCTTTCCATGGCTCAGCACTTTGTCTCTCATAGCAACCGGCAGCACAGGAAGACATAAGACCTCTGTATGAAACACTAAGCATTAACACCCATATAGCAAGAAGCTTTTTTGGACTCCAGGTATGCATGGGCATAGTTGCATGACCTGATTTAGGCTGTTATGGTTATAAGGAGTCAGAGTGGCCTCCTTGGCTGTTGGTCTGAATTGTTCAGTTCTTGAAGTTTAATCCAGTACCCCCAGAAAACATAGGTCTGCTTTTTATGTATCAAGAGATGAGAGAGAAAAATGCTGTCTCCCTGTTGCAGCACATACTTGCTCTGGTTTCTCCCAGCCCTACCGCAACCTTAGAGGCTTTTCTGATTTCCCACCATAGCACAAAGCCCTTATCTGGCAGCCTTACCCGTGGTCCTGGAAATCCTGGCTGTCCTGGGGGACCAGGAGGTCCAACTTGCCCACTGTCTCCTGGTGGTCCGTGGGGTCCCATCAGACCTGGATGGCCTTTATGACCAGGTATCCCAGGCTCACCTGGAGGGCCCTTTTCTCCTGGAGGACCTTTTTCACCTTTGATGCCAGGCTCTCCCTAAGCAAAAAAAACAAATAATCTGATCTTACCACCACAAAATAAAAGGCAAACTTCTGATTTCCACTGCACTGCAAAACACAAACAGCTGAGCTGGCAGTTCCTGAATACAATATCTGGTGAATTACAAATGATCCACAAATTATTACTGACACTGAATGATTAAAGAGAGGGCTGGGAGGAAAGGGGGAGGGTATAAGATCTCTACAGGCCATATCTGACTCTTAAATGATCTCTTCCTCAGCCCGTACTCAAAACAGCTCTCAATTTCAATGTAATGAGCCATAGAATCATAGAATGTCTTGGTTTGGAAGGGACCTCAAAAAGATCTAGTTCCAACTCCCCTGCCCCAGTCAGGGCTGCCAAGCACTAAACCATACACTAGACCAGGTTGCCTAGTGCCCCATCCAGCCTAGCTTTGAACACATGCAGGGATGTGGCATCCATAAAGAAACGATTAATATTACGCTCCAACCTACCCTCTCTCCTTTGGATCCAGGTTCACCTGGTTTCCCTGGTGCACCCTGCAACAAAATAAGAGTTATCATGAAAGAATCATAATAAGTAATAAAGCACACGTATTCACAATGATTACTGAGACTTGGAGGAAATATATTTCCCTGTTGGTCCCATAGATCTCTGAGATCACTGTTTGTTTTCAAATATAAAGAAAATCAAGCAAAAAGAAATCCAAGCATTTTGATGTAACCCAGGTGGCATCCCTGTTTGTTTTTTTTTTTTTTCCTGAGACATCAGCACTGTTCTGAAACAACTGGGAATCCAACTTACCTCCTTTCCTGGAGGGCCTTTTTCTCCTGGATCACCCTGAGAGTACAGAGAGTGAATTTAGCACCATATTGCAGACTTGGAAGACAGAGCCTACCTTTTATCCATGAGTTTCGCTTTGTGTCTAGAGCACAAGTTTTCTGCCACACAGAAGTGAGTTTGGAATATTTAACATTAGTCTACTGCTATAGGTCATTCCTGGAAAGGCACATCCTGATTTGTAATTTTTTAGAAGTCTGTACACAGTGTAAATGTTTACAAATGGAAGGAAAACCTGGAAGGAAAGTGTGTTCCTGCTTTCAAAAATTGTATTCCTTTTTCTTACAGGTATTTCACAAAGCATCATAAGCTTCACTTCGACTGGTTTAATCATGGAGTCATAGAATTATAGAATCATTACAGTTGGAAAAAACACTGAGACATTCTATTCCAGCCCATTTAGCTTGGGAAGTGCCAATGGTATAGTCATAATAGTCTAAAGATGTAAAGGAAGCATGTTTGTTAAGGAGTGGTGTTATCCTGTACAACAGTAGCTGGATATGAGATATTGAGCCATGGATAAAGAAACTCTGAGTCTGAAAACTTGCCCATATTTTAGAGCTACATAAAATAATCATAACTTAAATAAGCACTCCATCAGGATTTTTTCTATACCCTGCATTTATGATGTGCCAATAAGGCAGAACAATCTTTGCATTTTAGCATTTCAGCCAGAAAAAAAAAAAAAGTCACTGCAGTCCTGAAGCACACTGCTAAAATTCTATCCGCTTTCCTATACTATGAATGGAAGGATGCATTCACAATTCACAGATGTGATCATACCTCTAATGCATGTATGCATTGGAGTGTTTTTTCATAACCTGAAAATACACAGAGTCGCTTCCACTGCACTAGAACACATCTGTGTCTGCATGAGCAGTGTAACTAATCACAGATGTGTGATCACATCAGCTCCAATTAGGCAGCATCAGACCCTCTTGAATGTTCCTTAGGGCCACTTCAGCTTTAAATGGCCACTGCATTTGCTGCCTTAAATTAATTTTCCAGAGAAATATGCCTTTCTCCTCATCACAAGACTCCCTTTTCAATCCTTAAATTAAAAAAAAAAAAAAAAAAGAAGAAAAAAAAAATGATTCATCCTGTGAAAGACTCATTTCTGCTAGATTGACATGAAAACAATTAAAATCTAATTTTGTCGCACCAGAGTTAGAAATGAAAATGAAAACATTTACCTAACATTCAATCTTTTCCATACTTCAAGTAGAATGTAACATATTTTTCTTGCCTTGGTAGGGCTAAAGATATTGAATTTCAAAGATACTTTCACATGAACAGGTTTTATTTTAGATCACTTTGGGAGCTATCTGAATATTTTAATTGTGATGTACCTCCGTTGAAGGTAACACAAGAATTTTCCTGGGAACAGGGAATATCAAGAATAACTTTAATACTACCATCACTTAAAAATTCCCTATTTAGCCATTCTGGGATTCATGCAGAGACAAAGTCTGAGTAACCTCATGCCCATGTAAAGAGAAGTGATGAACCAGCCCAATTAATGCACATAATACCAGTGCTGACTGACAAGAACCACTTCCTCAAACGGGGTCACAGGTGTTTTCCCATAAGAGTAATGCCAGTCTCTGCAGTCCAGTTTTCTTCTGAAGTGACGCATATGGCTTCTGGATCTGTGATATCTCCTGCCTATGTTTTCTACCTAATTGAAGATAACTGTCCTATCTTCACTGTCCAACACATAAAAGCAGGCAATTAGCAGCTCTAATCCATCCCCAACCATACTTACAGGTGGTCCTCGGGGTCCTATGAAGCCAGGGAGTCCTGGGCTGCCATTTTCTCCTTTATTTCCTTTAGGACCCTTTGGACAGAAAGGAGGGAGACACTAGCAGTCCTTTTTCCAACATCTCTTTTCCAGAGTATGCATTTGCAGATACATTGGAATGGGGAAATCTCTCACTGTAGCAGCAAGACTCCCAAAACCGACAAGAAAAGGCAAAACAAAGAAAAGCAGATTGCAGATAGCAGGTCTGCATTATTAACAAGCTGTGTGGGGTCCCTGTGAAAGGTTGATAAGGAAGTGACAGTTGTGGAAGTGACAGGAGGTGTGTTCATCTGCTACTTCTGCTGCAGTATGGCTTATAATGTGTTGGTGTGGCTGTGGAAATGCTGTGATGCACAACAGCAGGAAAGCAGTGCAGATGGTCATATCGTTCAAATCCGAGAATACATTTAGCAGACAACAGTTACTGAGCTGCTCCTTTGCTCTTCTTTTCAGCTTCAATTCAAGAAACGTCTGCCTTTTACTTATCTCTTGTGATATTCTGCCAAACTGTCCCTTCTTCTTACAGATCAGGGCAGCTTAAATGTCAATTTGGGAAACAGATCCATTTCACATATACTTCTGATTTTTTTGTAACCTTTTCTTTCACAACTTTGTTTGACACCTAATTCATAACGCAACTTTTCTTCTTAGAATAAAACTTGCCTTTGTTTTAGGTTTGTCTTGTGCCAACAAGGAACCAAGCACATGGTTTTCAAGTAGGCAGTGACTCAAAGTATATGATGCAACGATGAGAAAAATCTGGAGATTACATGGGGTTTGTTGTATTGCTGTACACCGGCTTAAGCGTGAGCACTGTTGAGCAGTATGGGCACTGTCAAATCAAAGGAGCAGGTTCCTGGCAAGTGTTGTGACTACAAGTCAGCAGTGATACAGCAACTCATGTGGTGGAAAAGAAACCCTCATTGTCATAATCATCTTTCTCACTTCTCATTTTCTTCAAACAGAAATATAATATGTTGGCTTGTCATACTACATTGCAAAGGAAATCATTGCATTTCCAGACAAGGCTGGAAATAAATGGACTAGTGTTCTGTACATGGAAGCACTTCTCATAATAACCTTTATGAAGGAGAGAAGATTCATTTTAATGACAGAGAAGGATTCTGATGAAAAGACTGTCTGTTCTGCTGACCAATACTGTCATTGTTTCCCCTTTCTCATCCATCTGACTTTATCCTTTTTCAATCTCTTTTGTTATTTTTGGAGTGTAAATCCTCTGAAGCCGAGAGTGCTTTAGTTCTGTGTTTGTGCAGGAAGGTGCCTGAAAAAAACTGTGGGTCACTATCTGACTCTCTAAGTAGGTAATGGAATTACATGAGGATGACCAAAAACTAGCCCCTCTTTGGCACTCACAGAGCATACCAGAACCCCAGCAACCTTGGAAAAAACATTGAGTAGCAACCCACACAGTCAAAAAGCAGTAAAAGGCAAAAGACATAGCGAGGGTAGGTAGGCATGATGAGAAGAAATGAAGATTGAATGGGCAACAGAGGCAATCCATATGGTAAGAAGCAATGGCAATAGTTTAGGCAAGGTAATGAGTTGCAGCAAGGATCAAAAAAAAAAGCAGTAGCAATGATTTTTGGCTGCAAAAAGGCTGGTAGACTGCATTACTTCTATCCCACCTGTAATCTGCCTGCTATCACCAACCCATGCATTAAAGGTGTTATTTACTTCTCTGTGAAATTTTAGGAGGACATCTTGGCAGCAAAGAATCATATGATCATAGAACAGTTTGGGTTAGAAGGGACCTTTAAGATCATCCAGTTACAACTTCTCTGCTGCAGGCAGGGACACCTCCCACTAGACCAGGTTGCTCACAGACCCATCCACCCTGACCTGCAATAGCTTCCAGGGAGGGGGCATCCACATCCTCACTGGGCAACCTGTTCCAGCGTCTCACAACCCTCACAGTAAAGAATGCCTTCCAATAATCTAAATCTAAGTTCTTTCAATTTAAAACCATTTCCCCTCATTCTGTCACTACCTACGCTTATAAAAAGTCTCTTCCCAGTTTTCCTGTAGGCCCCCTGCAGGTACTGGAAAGCTGCTATAAGATCTCCTCAGAGCCTTCTCTTCTCCAGGCAAGATCTCCAGCTCTGTCAGCCTGTCCCCCTAGGGGAGGTGCTCCAGCCCTCTGATGATCTTCACAGAAACATCCTCAGGGCAAATGTCAGCAACAATGCTGAGGTTACTTTCTGGTACTGCAAGGGCAGAGTATTACAAAGATGAGTGGAATCCAACTGCAATATTTTTCAGATTCCTTGTGTTATGTCTTTGTTTCTTTTAGAATTTACCAGACCAACAAGATGTAATGTCTAGGTGGGCAAAGGGAAAGAAAAGCCCAGAACTGCAAAAGATGCTGCTGGACAGAAAGGTTCACTTGCATGGATGTGCTGAATCCTGAACAATTTTCAGCAGCATTACAGAGAAAAACTCTTCTTTCTGTGCTCCTTACAGCACTTCATTACCATTCTGTTCTTCCACACAGGATGGCCCTGGGGGATTCATTCTGCTCCATGATCTTGGTTTACTGCCCACTACCTGCTCTTCCCCCATGTGCCTGGGGAGAATTTCTCTATGCTGCTGTTCCTCCATGGCAGCCTGCCAACTCCCTGAAGCCCTCTCCTTTCTTGTGACAGCTCTCCACTGGCTGCAGAGTCTCTGCTTGACAAAATTAAATCAACTGGTAAAGATGAGGCATGCCAATCTTTTCTCCATGCCAGGTAATCAATCATTTCCTTTTTTTCTTTTTTTTTTTTTTTTTTAAATGACCCAGCTAGCAGCTCAATTCCAGGAATGTAGCCAAAACCCCTCTGATGTTATGGCTAGTCAATGAAATTCAGGTCACTGACCTCTACCTTCAGACATGGCAACTTGACAGACTTCAAGTAGCTACACATAAACCACCCCATCTATACTTCATCAGTCACCTCTCCCTGACATAACTGCTAGCTGGATGAATTTTCCTTTGTGGTACTTACTGGGTTACCTGCTGGGCCAGGTTCTCCTGCAGATCCAGGCAATCCATTCTTGCCCTAAGGTGTAAAGAAAAAAGGTTAGTGAAACAAAATATACTATGATCAATAGAAGTATCCACCTGCTGCTGTACCAGCAAGGATTTCTTTAACATTTTCCAACCTTCCCTCTTGGCAGATTACAGAGTGAGGATGTCCTATTTTTTATTAACCCCACAACTTCTGCATCTGTGACTGCATGGCCAACCACATCTCTAGATAAAAAGTCAGAGATGAGGACCCAGACCCCCTAATGTGAACAGGAGCAAACTAGCACTCCTTCTCTTTCTCTTCACCCTTATTCTTTTCACATGAATCCTGTACAGATGGAGCTACCTACTATGGCAGCTCCATTAGTCAGTGTTTGACAAACTCCTGGCAACTCCATGATCAACGTGAAAACAATCTGCACTGGCCAAGAGATACCTCCAGATCACCCCAAACCTACTTATGTTCAAAGAATTCCTGTTTCCAATGACTAAGATAGGTTCTGCAAACCACTTTTCAGATGTGCTCACCATTGCACTGGATTGATGGTATAGACCAGCCTTTTTACTGTCGATATTCAAAATCATACCTCATGTTCTTTAATAAAGAAACAAAGCAGATGAACAACAAAAGAAACTGATACTTTGCCCTTGGCCATACAAAAATCCATGTAAGCTCTCCTCTAAAGAAGAAAATGTTTTGGAATGGTGATAACTTCCATTTTCTCAAACATGTTTATGTATTTGTGGTGTTGTGAAGGGGCATGACCCATTAGTGAATGATGCTAGCAGTGCAGAAATAACGAGATAAATTATCAGGTAGACAGAGGAGCTTTCCATATGTTCCTACAGTGTAATATATCTCCCTATCCTCCCAGCTACAAGAGATCTGCCATTCCAGCTCCTGGAATTGCTGGCTGAATCAGCAGTTTGCCCTGATTACGGAACATGTTGTAGAATGTTTCACTAGCAGATTACTAGCAGAAGGCAAAGAAATCACCCTTATTATAACACATTAAAGATGTGCTCATGTTCAGCACTGAGATATGCATTCAAATTTGGAAAGGATTGAATTTTAAAAGAGAATTGAAAAGCCTGTTAAATTTATACAAGTAATTTCTCAGCCATTCCAGATGATGCTTTCAGAAATGTTAACTAAATTGCCATTTCGCTACTGAAGATTTAATCAAGCTCTACAAGTGTTCAATTAAACAAATGCTTTTTCTCAAAACGATGGTTTTTTTGTTTGTTTTTTTGTTTGTTTTTTTGTTTTGTTTTGTTTTTTAAAATCAGGATAAAATATAGAAGGTATGACAAAAATGAATAGTATCACAACAGGATCCCAGATATCCCAATATGATTACCTGCAACTACTATCTGCCTTTGAAAACCACGTGCAGAGGCCATGCGATAAGGAGAGATATTCCAGTGGCAAGTCTGGAATACAATCACTTCTGGCATTGCAATCTTGGTAGAAATCATTAAACTATCTTTCCCACACAAGTCAGAATCTAGCGTTACTTTGTGCTCCATATTAGTCCCCATCAGTTTCCATCAATCTAGTTCTTTGTTTTTCCCAAATTCAGGTAGGATTTCACCAAACAACACTTGGATCTTGCATAGCATTCTTCTTCCAAACCACAGGTCTGGACTGCAGAACATCCCCACTAAATACAGTGTACCTCCAGAAACTGCTTATCAGGAGAAAAACTCACCGGCTGCCCTCTGAGCCCTCGAGGGCCCTGTGGTCCTATGGGGCCAGTATCACCCTAAAATGAAGAAAAGTAGGAAGTAAAAGTAGTGAGTAGGAAAGATCTGATAGGGAGACAAACAAGCCATCATTTTAAACTTCAAATTAAACTTTTAGTGTATTAAGGAAAAACGAGAAAAGCTTCACTGGCCCCTTCCAGTTATGTATGACTAGCTTCTTGAATTTCAAACATTTATCACCCAGTCTGATCACAAGCAGAACCCATTGGCATCATCTGATATTAAAGATGGATTCCTCAGGGACTGGAAATCCTTCCCTCTCCCTTAAGCAAGCCTTAAGTTGTTCCTACCTTCCCTGAGGGGTTCCCCTGGGCCTATCTTCCATTTTACTTTGTATAGTACTATTGACAACACAACAGCTTTTCAGTGATATTAGGGGTGCAAGGGAGAAACCACTTCCCCAGATCCCATGACACTGGCATATCAGCCACTCAGTACATTGCTGAGCAGCTGCTGCAGGATGCTGCTTCAGTTGTGCTCTCCAGAGACTTTGCTATGTGACTGCATTTGACGCTAATATGGATCTGTTTGTACCATCTCTCTTTGCTCTGAGCAGCAGCATCTTATTCCACAAGTATGTCATATATTGTGCTTCAGCTATGCATGCAGTAAGGTTCCACCTTTTGCAGAGCAAGTGGAACGAACCCTGGCCCAGTGGGATCTTCAGAATGAAACACAGTTTGGAGAGCAGTGGCAGAAAACAGGTTTATGGCTGCACAGCACAGCCTGTGATTCAGACAGTATAGCTCTCCCTCCTTTTCCAAAGATATCCCTGATATTTATGTGTCAGAAGCTGAGTGGTGAGGAAAGCCCTCACATTTGTCGGTACTCTAATGAGCTTCATACAAATCATTTCCTATGCACTGCTGCAATAATTTACCCTTTATTTCAGTTTCTGCAGTTGTTTTTAGAGAGTGGTCACTGTGAATGATTTTTTTTCATTTGTCAGCGAGAAGATGAATGTCTGCCCAAAATAGTACACTTACATCCTTCCCTGGTGGCCCCTCACGCCCAGCAGGACCTGTCGCACCTGGTTCCCCCTGCAATTCAGCAAAAAAAAGAAGAGATATCAGCTCAAGGTCAATGGCAGACCAGTAACACCACTGCAAGTGCTGTGGGGTTTCAACTGAGCCTGAAGACAATATTTCTGAAGACAATAAAAACCTTGTGTATCATATGCGACACACAGCTTTTAAAAAGAATTCAGAAGCATCTTCTGATAGTGATGCACAGGGCAGTACAGTGCTTTCCAGCAGGATATCTATTGCTGCTAGTGTATTAACTAAAACCCACCAACATACACATAGTATAGGAACTACTGTAATGAAGAAAAGATGAGCAGCTCCAGCACTGGATTACTCAGCTAAGGTACTCCAAGCAAAGTATTTTCCTTCCCCATGGAGAATCAGCATTAAATAAGCAGAGAGAAATTCAGTTTTGTATTCCACTGTCTACATTAAGGAACATTTTGTACTGCATTGCTCAGAAATGAGAACAACTTAACATGCAGGATTTGAGTTTTGAGCTTCGTTATGAATAGGCAAGTAAGCCAAATGGCTAAAGTCATTTCTGCACTCATTTCTTTATGTTTTGCTCTGAACATATTCTGCATGTCTTAGGCATTTCTGCTGAATTCATTGAATTCACATTCAATAGCTGAAGTAAGGTTCCTCACCCTCTATATCAGTAATTTTACAAGTAGAATGTTGTGTGGAGGCCTCCCGTGAAAATTTCTCATGCAGGTCTTTCTCAAAGGCAGTTTCAGACGACTCAGATCTACCAGTTGCCTCACCTTAACTAGGAGCAGAACTTCAATTCACACCACCTTTCTATAAAGGACCATCATGCAGGCAGTGCATGTTGCTTACCCGTGGACCTGGGGGACCTGTATCTCCCCTCTGTCCTTTGAAACCCTGAAAAAGAGAATTAAATAATTGCCCATTACACTAACACTCGAAGCAGTGAGAATGTTCTACCTTGAACATGAACTTAATAACCTTCCCAGAAGTCCTCCTCCTCAGGGTCACTCTCTATCCACTCATTGCCCAGCCTACATTTGTGCTTGGGATTGCCCCAGCCCAACTGCAGGACCTTGCCCTCGGCATTGCTGAACTTGAGATTCTCATGGGCACCTCTAAAACCTATTAAGGTGCCTCTGAATGGCAACCCATCTCTTCAGCAAGTGCAGGACACCACACATCTTGGTGTCATCCACAAGCTTACTGAAGATGTACTCAGTCTTACTGTCTATGTCACCAACAACAGATGTTCACATCATTAAGAGTTATCATCCTCCATCAAAAGCTTCCTAGCTACAGTACAGAAGAGTTACGGGACAGAACCTACCGGTAAGCCTCTGGCACCCTCCTGGCCTGGGAGGCCTGGTTCTCCAGGTTTTCCCTATGGGAAACAAGGCAGAGACGTTTCTACATGCACCGTCATGAACATACACTTCGAAATTCAAAGATATTTACACCTTTGGATTGATGCACCTTCACAATGTTTTTATTTCAGAGGAATAATGCACACAACTACAGTTGTATATACCTGGTCAGCACGTACAAAAAAAGTATGTGCACACGGAAACCAGCTGTTTTGTTGGAAGCAGTAGGAAGCATGTTTGTTGCAGCTGTTGTCACAAGCATTTCTCCATTCCCCTAAATGACTGGGGACTTGGCTTTTTACAGAAGGACTAAGTCCCATTTGACAAGGCACAGAAAGAGGCTGGCAATGCCAGACACTGAAAGCACATTCTTCTTCTAAGAAACACAGTGGTAAGGAATAACATTCACTGCCCAATTTATTAACATTTCCTTTTGGCTGACAACTTCATAGCTCAGCTTTTTTTTTTTTTTTGCCTTCAATAAATGCAAGCATAGACCAAGTGGAGAACATCAAATATAAACCTCTCTAATCCTGGACAACAGAGCCATTACAGAGTAACTCAGAAAAGGCTTTCTTTTAAGACACCTCCTCTAAACTTTTTATGCTCCATAATCTTCTACCTTAAAATGCAATCCTTAGATTAAATGTTACAAGAGAATCTTCTTTCTCTGTAATATTTGCAGTACTTGTAAAGATGGAATCACAACGTTTTGGAGTATTTATAGTAGTTGTAAAAGAACCCAGTTTCTTTTTAAGAATTCCAGAGTGAATCTTACAAATTGCTCAAGACAATACAGCCCCTCTGGTGTTAGAAAAAGATATGCCAACAGATTTCCTGCCCCCATTGAGCCCATAGATAAGCAGCTACAAAAGTAATAACTGGATGTGGTCTGTGATTGCCTGTGTGAAGCACCTTTAAATTACATTACCGGTTCTCCAAGAGATCCTGGCTTGCCATCTTTGCCATCATTCCCAGCAATGCCCTGTTAATGAAACGCATAACGAGGTATAACAAGGAGTTTATAGGAGAGATTGGTATACTTGTGTCAATATGAAAACTCAAAATAGCAACTCTGCTTCATTGTGACTGTATTTAATTTTGCCCAGTGCTCCAGAAATTCTGTTATTACTATAGTTCAGACATAAACTTTTTCTGTCACATTTCCATAGGGAAACATTTTGTGCTTTTTCTCTATTCAGTATGCAATTGTAAGGGGCTTCTTTCTTCTCAGCAAAGTGAGCATGTTAACAGTGTTAAAAGAGGTTTCTAAAGACAACTCTTATAAATCATTATAATACCATTATAATGGCATTCACCGAAGCTACTTTACACTGCAAATAACTCTAGCCCTACACCAATAAGGAAAAAAGAAAACAAAACTAAATTTTGTATTAAATTTGTATATATGCCTTTTCCAGAAGAAAAGTGTTTATGCCCCAGATGCACTTGAGTCAGTGCAAAGGAATCATTTCAGCTATGGATTGAGAGGAAGCTGACCTTCCAGACTATGAATTCTTATTCCCTTACACTGGTGTTATTACATTAGTTCTGTGCTCTGTATGAGAGTATTTATGCAAAAAATAAAAAGAATGTAAAAAAATAAAAAGAATTTTAAAAAATGAACAGGCAGATGAGGAACAAGCCTGTTTCAGATAGTTTAACGCTTAGATCTGAAGTGATAAATACAGCACTCATCATGTCCTGGGCCAAGGACATTGCACCAACATTACAGGTATCCCTTTAAAGATCATGCACAGCTTTCAGAGCATTTCAGGAATCTGTTTGGTTCATGTCCACACATGCTTATAAACAGTTCTATGTATTGAAAGAGAAGGAGCTGAACTGCACTCACGGGAAGTCCAGGAACACCTGGTGGGCCTTGTGGACCTGGAAGGCCATCTTTACCCTGGAAAGAAAGTAGAAACACCAAGGTTCAGATGATTTTCTCAGATGCTTCTCATATAAAGATTGAATGCAATGTTTGACATGGCACCACTGTGAGAATCTGGTCTTGCAGCTCATACCATACTGTGTTCAGGTTTTCTTGACTTCATTTCTGCTTTAACTTGAAGGTTTTTACAAAAAAAAAACAAACATACAGTATTATTTATAAGTTGGTACAATTAAAGAATCCACTAAAATCACCAGTATTTTCTTCCTCAGTTTAGTTATATTTAGCACTGAGTGCTTAGCTTCTGTGATGAAGTGTCCATCCAGAAAACAGAAAGTCTGTATTTTATAACTCTTGAATCAGCAGATATGAGAAGTGCCTTGTTGACTGCCCCAAGAGAGAAATATCCTCTTATTCATAGAGTCATATAATTGTTTGGAAGGGAACCCTTAAAGGACATCTATTCCAACTCCTCTGCAATGAATAGGGACACCTACAGCTAGATCCCCATCCAGCCTGACCTTGAATGTCTCCAGGGATAGGAGACAGGTCTCACGAAAGCATATGAGGTCCTTCAAATTATTTCAGCCTTAACCATCCATTTGAAAGGGAAGTTCAGCCAGCTTGTCCTTGCAATCTGTGTCTTCTCTGATGGTAGTGCTGACTGATTTCACAGCAGCCACCAGAAAGACAGTTGTTGAGTCCCTTATGATTGAAACAGATGTGCAAAAGGTGTCTTGCTCACCCTGCTCCAGAAATTAATCACAGAATTACACAGTCCTAAATCATGATTTTTTTTTCCTTTTCACACTTAGGTAAGCATCAATCAGATTCCAATCAGATTATCCTTCTCTCCTACAGATTTCTGATGCATTACCTTAAAATAGAATCTGAATGACCTTGAAACGAAACAGCAGTAGGAAAATTCTTCATCCATTTCTTGAAGTTTGCCCCCATGCAAGTGTTTGCAGTGGTGCCAAGAAGTGGTCCAAAAGTGCAGGACCCGAGCAGCCTGTGCTGTGGCATTCTTCAAAATGTTGCTGGTTTTGTTTTGACAGTCCTCAGGCGCAATTCAAGTGTTACCCTGGGTTATGCACCAGCCTAACAAATTAAGCCATTATGCCACAGAGGCTAAAAGATGTTAATAGTAAAGATGGACACATGAGACGTATAACTACCTCCTTAGACAGTAAGCAAGGATGCACTGAAGAAGTTCCATGTACTGGATATTTCATTCTGGCTAGTTTGGAGCAACAGGAACAGAGTAATCTGTTATTATTTGTGTGGGTCCAACTTGCAGGTATGGAGTTGTTTCAGAATGGACAATGTGGGAAGCTTTCAAAAGACATTATTTCAGTTCCAGCTCAGCTTTATTCACAGAGAAAAAGCTAGGTTAAGCTAATATTGAAACACATAGCCGAGAGCTTACCACGTCTCCTGGGTTTCCTGCTGGTCCTATTGGTCCCGGTGCCCCATCCGGTCCCTAAACAAAACAAAGCAGAAATAACATGAATAATTAACACATTTTGTACATTTGTCAGTGTTCCCTACCATCCTAGAACCACAGGTCCACGCAGACAGAGGAAAAAGGCACATCACGAAAAAGAATCTACTGGAACACTGCAATTTGCTCTCCTTTGACAAGATCAGTTTTATTTTTCACATTTCAGTTGACTCCATTCACACTCTCTTCGTGACTCCCATGAGGATGTCATGGGACAGCTTTAAGAATTTTATTCTTACCAAAATAGACCTATGGCTGTGGCAGTAAAAGTTCCCATATTATCAGTTTCTCCTAAAAATATGCTTCTTAAAATGAACTTGCAGAAGTGCAAACAACCCACAAAAAGGTCCTCATGTGTTGTCCTGGTGGCTAAGCATTCAGCGGCCTCCTGGCACCACTACTATCTGAAAGCAGGATTTTAACATGGTCTTTAATTTTAACATGGTCTTTTTTTTTCCAGTACCTCCTGTCCTTCAGGAGTTACAGTGTAAACTCAGCTTTAAAGGGACTATGCTGATTCCCATAAAAGACAAATGCTGAAAACCCTTATCACAGCAGTCAGATTGCTCTGCAAGCAGCAGTGTAAGTAGTAATGACTATAGGCAAAGACAGAAGGTTTGGAAAGAAAAGCCCTTTGCTCAGGAAAAGTCCCTGCTCCTGGAGACTGCAAGTGGTGATATCACAAGCAGGAGAGCCAAGTTATTTCAGCCTTGCTTCTGCAATGACACTCCAGTATTATGACTTTATATATGCAAAAAAGCATAACTGTATTTGTGCAGAGTGCAGAACAAGAAATAAGAACTGTGACACAGCAGGACACGAGTAAAAGGTCTCTTAATCCAAAAGCAATCTGGAGGATACAAAAATTGGAGAAAAATTCACTATCATATTACCGCGTAAAACTGAAAACCAAAATTACTGTTAGATCTGCCGGTTCCAGGCTGAGAGCTTATTCTGCCTATAAGTAAACACCTATACATGAACTCCTAAGTAGTCTCTGTGGAAGAGTTTTCATGATCATTGCCTTGTATAAAGAGAGGGACTGAAGCTTAGCATCAATTTACAGAGTGAGATGAAGCAATCAGTGAAAAGTGGCTGATGTATTAAATAGCAATTATAATGAGCAGAGAAATCTATGGCACTCAAGGACCATTAGGAACCCACTGGAAAAGGAAAATGCAGTGTGCAGGCAGGTGAGAATGGCCCTTTCTGTGGATACTGTTATTAGTAAGGAAAATATAAGACCATCTGCTTTGCAACAGAGGAACTTACAGGTGGGCCAGGGTTTCCAGGAGCCCCTGCAAAGCCAGGCATTCCAGGGTGTCCCTGCGAAATAAAACGAGAGACTTCATACATTATTCATATTTCTACTTGTATGTAGGTTAATTGATCATTGGGTACTGTGAGGTAACATCAAAATACGACAATACACAAAGTGCTGGTTATAAGGAAATAATGGACTGCAGCTTTTTAAATCAAAGTGTTTTCAGAGTATGCACTTCAGTAATGAATACAGTTAGATTTAGGGTGTACTTTCTGTAATATGTATTTCACGGAATGTTAATAGGAGCTGAGAACAAATATTGTGGAAGAAGACCAGGCTGGAAATCAATGTCGTTTAAAATATCCTACAATTTACTTTGAAGACTGAATTTGCACCTTAAACTACTGACTCAGCCCTTGACAAAAATAAGTGCAAACACTTTCTACAATTTAGACTATTTTCTTTCCTGTGGCACATCCTATAAAAGTCCATCACTTCTAGGATTAATAGCAAAACTAGCCTTTTCAGTCCAGAGGTGTTTAGTCTCCTGGACCTCATGTAGATATTAACTGAGGAAGTGAACAGAAGTTGGGTACTGCAGAGAACTGAATGTATTGAATGAAGAGGTGAAGAAAAAATCATCTTAGAATCCAGCAACACAACACAGGGAAGATTTGAGTTGGAGACTGGAAGGGAATCCTGAGGAGGACTTCTATGGTCCCACTCTTAATAAAGTAAAGGTTTAGCAGTGATGGACAAATTTCATCTTTCTTGTCTTTTTTTCAAGTAGTTGTATTTTTCAGCATTAGAGCAACTGTTGAAGAAGGAATCACAAACAAAGCACTATTGGAAAGCATAGTTAATTTTTACCTGTTCGCCTTTTTCTCCTGCATCCCCAGTTATTCCACGGTCTCCTTTAGCACCCTTCATAATGAGAAAAAAAAGTCACTGAAAGTCACTTAGATTCAGTATTTTATTAGCTTTTTGACTTATTTCATAAAGCACTTGGTCATCTGAGCATAAAATACAGAAATAAGAACTGAACCCTGCTTCTGCTCCTATTAAATTCTGCCTGTGATTTTCCCTATCAATGCAGGAGCTAGCAATATATGGGAAAATGGTCTTTGAACAGACTCAGGATGGCCTTTTACTTATATATATATAAATATAATTTCATTTTCTTGGCTTAGGGACACAAAGAGGACATAAACATCCTTAAAAATAAAAAGGCTGCTAGGCAATGCACTAAATGGGATTCTGGTAAGGAATCATTCGGCCCACTAAAGGCATCTACAGCATCAGGTACTAATCTTTTTTGCCTTCAGGGCCAACAATGTCAAAACCAGCATTTCTAAGGTGCAGTCAGAATATTAATGCCCAGAATGTGCCCTCCAATTTCCCTGTGTCTCTGACAACAGAGCAGAAGCAACTAACTCAGAAGTAGATGTCTGTATTATCAGTGCTTGCAGTTGCTTACAGGCAAGATGAATTTCACACAGCAAAAAAACCTGAGATGCTGGGTATACAAATTATGACATGAATGACACAGAGGACACTAATGAATTGCAGGCCATTGAAATGATTCTCTGGTTCATTACATGAGAGCAAGGAGCCAAGTAGGGAAGGGAGAGTTATACACATTTGCATGGTGCTGGTAGAGACAACATACTGCACTTTCAAAACTGCAGAGCTCTCTAGATTTTTCACCATGAGGATCCTCCTCAAATATCTGGAAAGGAGTCACAGTGACAGCCTTTGTTTTTGTCTCTTCTTTCATAATATATTCTTTCACAATATAATTCTTAACAATTGCAAACGCCATGAGTTTGCCAGTTCACTGAGTGCAAGCCAGATTATTTATCAATTATTTGATTTTATATTATGCACATGTACAGTCTAAGTCTTGTTGTTTGATAGATCATCATCACAGAATCTCAGAATGGCCTGGGTTGAAAAGGACCACAACGATCATCTAGTTTCAACCCTCTGCTATGTGCAGGGTTGCCAACCACCGACAAGACTGCCCAGAGCCACATTCAGCCGGGCCTTGAATGCCCCCAGGGACGGGCACCTACAACCTCCTTGGACAGGTTTCAACTAAACAGGTTTAGAAGTTGTTGTGAAGAGCCTTTGCAGTGAGAGTTGGGGTTGCTCAGCTTGGAGAAGGCTACAGAGAGACTTTATAGCAGCCTTCCAGCAGCTGAAGGGATTTTGGAGTAAATTTGGAGAGGGATTCCTTATCAATGAGTATACTGTATACTGATAAGAGAAAGAGTAGTGGCCTTAAACTAAAAGAGATTAGATTTAGATTAGCTATAAGGAAGAAATTATTCACTGTAGGGATGGTGAGGCTCTAGAAGAGGTTGTCCAGAGAAGCTGTGGTTACCCCATCCCTTGAGGTATCCAAGGCCAGGCTGGATGGGGTCCTGGGCAACCTAACCCAGTGGAAGGTGTTCTTGCCCACAGTAAGGTGTTGGAACTAGATAATCTTGGGGTCCCTTCCAATGCAAACCATTCTATTCAGTCTTGCTACCCAGATCTCCACTTTTGCATAGCATTAAAAAAAGCAGCATATGGGAGTCCCAGACTACCTGGGTTTTCCACTGCTTGTTGTCTTTATGGATGCTAATTCCTCTGAAAATTTAATCTTGGGAGGTACTCTCATTTTGATAGGCCTTAATGTTTGCTTTTGAGACTCTACCTCTCAACTTCAGCACACTTTAATTTGCAAGATTTAAAATTAATTTATGAATCAGTATTAGTTTGTCCTACACTAATAAGTGCAAATACAAAGATGTTAAAATAGTAGAAGTTGTTTTAGACAATAGGTCAGGATGCAGGGAAGTATGTAGAAAACCTGTGGCCTTCATTTCTTCTCTCTCCCTCCATTGATTTGTTTTGATCTATTTCACATTAGGTAGTTTTAAAAGTTTTGACTGACCAGGCACTGGCACTATCAACAGAATGCTGTCAGAGCTATTTGTGGGAAATGCTCAGAATGTGATATTATTGGAATCCCTCAGACATTGTGCTTGATATTGGCCTACATCCCTAAATCATGATGCAGAAAGATGCATCTGAACCGAGTCGTTCTTTTTACAGTGTATTTCAGGGAGCATTCAGGATCTATGGATCTGCAAATATTGCACATGGTGCATTTGAAGGCCACACTTTAATTTAAAGGGATTCCAACATGTGGGATATAGAAGGGAGAGAATCAATGCAGGAAGAAGGTTACTTGCTGAAGCTTTAATTGCTTCCTCACCTGATTTGGACTGATAGTTGATTCTAATTTCTATGTCTTTCCTCAAAATATTAGTGAAATGAAATTCTTTATCAAGAATCAAACACTTTACATTTTGTTTTGTTTCATTTCTGTTTGTTTGTTTTTGTGAACAGAGGGATGATAGAAGACTGTATTTAAATGGAACAGTGTTCACATAGCTGTGCAGTTTTGTGCACCCGTGGTACTCCACTGAAATGCCAGCGCAGGGCCCACCAATAAGTCAGTTCTGCTCTTTAATATAGAGATGGGTCCTATCAAGAGCTTGTGTCAACAGTGCTCGAACTAATCACAGATAATTTCTGCTTAGAACACTAAAGATCAACAAACCTTTTGGCCATCCAGTCCAGGTGGGCCTGCAGCACCTCTGGGACCAGCATTTCCCTGCAATTCAGAAGAGGTAGAGGTAAATACTAGCTTCTTACATTTCAAGAAGGCAGAGCCTGCCATCCCCAGTGCTAGAGCCAAGGTGGTCAGGCCACTTTTATGCTCAGCACTGCAGACTGAACTGTTCTCTAGCACCTACTGTACTATACAGATCTTTTTGCATATGGCATTGGCATTGAAAGATTCATCAGCATATTATGTATGCCACTTGGTTAACCTACAATAATGCCTAACACTGTAGTTGTCTCTTTTACAAACAAGCTAATCCTTAGGAAATCTTTGTGGTTATACATATCAGCCTTGGCCACTGCTGGAAACACATAATCTCAAGGGGAAGCCACAACCGGAGTGCCAACAAGGATTAATTACAAAGGAATTTCGCATGTGAAAAACTCTGAAAACCATCATGCCAAAACCCATATGGTACAATGTGGTCAAGATCTTGATTAATTAGAATAACATTCTCTGTGCGACTTTTTACAGGAGTGGCTGGTTTCCTGGAGAAGTTTTGATTTTCTTCCGAATTCCTCTTTGCAGCTCAAATGAGATGCATCAAAGCTCACTATAGACAGATGGGTCAAATTCACAGTTACACCATACATCTTTTCACTCACTTATTTCCACTTAGTAGAACTGTAGAGATCTACTAGCATGACTGATGGAGGAAAACTGAAACAGAGAACATTAAATAAGATTTTCTAGGGCTATGAAATAATACAGGATCTCTGGATGGTAGAGAGCCATCACTTTTATTCTCACTCTTTCCTGACAAATAATTGAAAAGGTTAAGGGATTAATTTCAGCACAGGTCATTTATTAAAACCCCTTAACCTCCATTCTTTATTTCAAGTTCTCTGCAAAATCTGTGTCTCTTAAACAATAGCTACTCCTAAAACTTCCCTTAGGCATCCTTGTAGCCAGCAAAAAATCCACGTAATGATCATGTCTCAATCAGCAATGTACTCCACTCACTCCTCAGTCACTGTTCTCTACTTTCCTTTCACATACCACTGCTATTTCTCCTTCTGAACAATGAACATGACAGAAAAACAGCTTCTGGGTTATTTGGTTTCTCCTACAGAGTAGATGATGGAAAAGAATGGGTGGATAGGTACTGTTTTTTTCTATCCCTTCAGTGGCAGCAAGGGCTATTGAGAGGTCCAGGAAAACCCATCTCATAAATATGTGGCTGATAGGCTGGTGCAATCACATGAGTTTCAGTTTTTTTGACCATGGATTACCAGGTCCCTGTCCTGATGGCTACAAGATGGGTCTCACCAGTCTTAAAGGGGGAAACAGATCCTAGGCCAGGAGATGGCAGAGCTCATTGAGATGGTTTTAAACTAGATGTGAAATAGGAAGGGAATAAAATAAGGCTCATTAAAGATGAGTCCAGGGGAATGACAGGATGACAGGATTGGGAGTGAGGCAAATGTCTCAGCTGAAGTGCATCAACACCAATGGACGCACCATGAACAACAAACAGGAGGAGCTCTCAGCCACTGCATGCAGGCAAACTATGACTTAGTGGTCATTACTGAAACATGGTGGGATTGGTCCCACAACTGGAATGTTGCAATGGAGGGCTATAAGCTCTTTAGAATGAAAAGGCAAGAAAGGAGGTTTGGTGGCATGGCTTCCTATGTTAGAGACTGCTTTGATTTGTTGAGCTTGTGGCTCACTATGATAAGGTTAAGTCTATATGGGTAGGGATTAGGAGGAAAGGTCAGTAGGGCTGACATCCTGGTGGAGGGTCTTATAGACTGCCTAACTAAGATGAAAAGATGGATGGGTTATTCTACGAGCAGCTGGCAGAAGCTGTGTGATCACCAACCCTTGTTCTCATGGGGGACTTCAACTTCCCTGAAATATGCTGGAAATTTAATACAGAGCAGAAAAAGTAGGAGGTTTCTAGAATGTGTGGGAGATAACTTCCTGATGCAAATGGTAAGAGAGCCTACCAGGGGAGGTGCCCTGCTAGACCTGCTGTTCAGAAACAGAGAACTGCTTGGACTTCTGGAGAGGAGACTTTGAACTATTCAGGACACTGGTACAGAGGGTCCCTTGGGAGTCTGTCCTGAAAGGTAAAGGGCTCCAGGAAAGCTGGTCACTGTATTCAACTCTGGTGAGGCCACACCTTGTGTACTGTGTTCAGTTTTTGGCTGCTCACTACAAGAAAGAATTAAGGCTTTGGGCATGCCCAGTGAAGAGCAATGAAGTTTGCAAGGGGTCTGGAGCACAAGTCTTATGAGAGTGGCTGAGAGAACTGGGATTGTTTAGTCTGGAGAAAAGAAGGCTCAGAAGAGACCTTATGGCTCCCTGAAGCAGCTGAGATCCAGTCCATTGACTTCAAAGACAGCTATAAAAGATTCAGTTCATTGTAACTGAAAAAAATAAAAATCAAACATGCAAGAATATTGTTAGGGAAAAAAAAAAATGGGTAAAGCATATCCAAGGGATATAGTTAAACCAAACCCAAGGGATGACCACTTTCCTAGCTCTCTTACCATTTTCCCATCCTGGCCGTCTCTACCTGGTGGTCCTCGGAGACCTTTGTCACCTTTGAAACCTGGGATGCCTGGCAGTCCTGGTGGGCCAGGCGGGCATTCAGTGCACACATCCTAGGAGAGAACATTAAGAAGTTAGCAACAGAGTGAAGGTATCTAGTAGAGCTTGCAGATGCTGAGTATGAATGCAGCAGTGGGGAGCTAGCACAACCTGTAGGCCATTGCACTTTGACCACATCAAGGAGGAGCTGGGTTATGTTGACGTACAGTGAAGTGAGGTTAGTGTAAAGGAGAGAGAGGGCCAGTTGCTGAGCTTCCATAGGATCCCTTGGAGTGTTTTGGACAGCTCTTAACTGATCTTAACAATCAAGAAACTGAGGAAACAAGATCAAATAGCCACAAAGCAACATTATCAAGAAAAGCTTTGTTTGTAATCTACAAGACTACTTGAAGAATACTCCATCTGTATCAGTCAAAAAGTTGCTGAGTTACTGCTAAGAGGGCATACTGATATGGAAAACTGCATTGTTGCAGCACAGAACCAGAAAGGCTGAAAGACAACATAGCCCAAACAATGGGACACCAGGTCAGCTTGGTACAACTCCCAACTCAGCCAATGATCCATTGTGAAATTGCAGGGTAAAATGTCTTTCTGAACCTCAGTTCCTCCATTTATATTTTCCTACTGAAAATGTAAAAGCTTGAGAGATATACAGAACAACTGAGCCTTAGTTGCATCTGGAGTCTGAAGGTGATGCTATATGTAAAGCTGGGCCAGGTACAGAGTGAAAAACATAAAGAATATGCTGTGTGTGTGCAACTGTAACATAATAGAAGTTTAAAAAAAAAAAAAAAAAAAAAAAACATCAAAATGACATTCCATACTCAAGAAATAGAGAACAGAGAAACAGTCTGTTGCTACTCTCCTGATCAGAAATACCAAACAATGCAATATAGTGAATTCTCTGGAAAAAAATACTGTGTTGCCTGAGAAAAACAGCTCTTCAATGAAGTCATTTCAAAGCAGCAATCTTAAAAGGGTCATTTTGTTAATGTGGTTAGTAAAAAAAGTAATTTTTTAGTTTCTTCTAATCAATAAGGAAGAATTTCATTCCATGTCTCAAACCTGCTTAAAAATCTCCCAACTCAGCCCGCGTAAATCTTTAAAGATTTTGCAATCAGCACCTCTCAAACAGAGACTCGTTTTCCAGACAACTGTCTACATGGAGAGTAAAAGCAGACAGACAGATCACCATGTTTGAAACATGGGTGCACGTGGGCTTAATTACCTGCATCCTTTTAGACGCATTATGCAAACTGAATTTGCACCCACAGTGCGAAGTGTGGTCACTTGCAGGTGTGTGTGAAAGATCAGCCATTTGATTAAAGTGGTTTCCATTTTCTGCTTTAGGTAATACAACTTCACAATAGTTATTCCTGCTTGGAAATGAAAGCCTCCCAAAGAGATAAAAAAAAGTCTCAGAGTTTTTACAACTTAAACCACGTTACAAAGATCTTTGTAGACCATATCACTAGTGTGGGCTGCTAGAGAGCACTGGGTTTTGATCTCCAGCACATCCTTGTGTGTCCCAACAGCTGTGTCAGTAGGAGACCTGCAATTTCCAAGTTCTGCTGGAGTAATTTAAGGCATCTTTTGCACTTCTAGCTCTGATGCTTTCCCATCGCATGGTGTTAGTTAGGTTTCAATCAAACATTCAGATAAACTCCCACCATCCTCAGAAGCTGATTACCTTCACTAAGAGATTTATGTCCTCTGGAGAGAGCAGGGGTGAGGTACCCTGTGGAGTGAAAAATTCAGGCAACGTTAAAAGGTATATAAATGTAAGAAATCTTCCTGAACATATCTGTGGCCTGGTATAAGTTTCTCTGTGGGCTAAAAACATTCCAGTTCTCTTACATTACCAATGAACATCATATCTGAGACCTCTGTGTATTCTGTGCCCTGGTATAAGTTTCTTTTTGGGATAAAAAAAACCCAGTTCCTTCACATTATCAGTGAACATCATATCTGAGACCTCTGTGTATTTTTGATCATGTACTTGCTCATAGCATGCTATAATATATATATATAATTTGCCTTTACAATTTTGGCTTTTTTTTGGTGTGCAGAACATTCAGTTATTTTCATACTGTTCCAAACTATCATAGGTATTTTTATTATATTTTTTTAATAGTTCCTAGGTTTTGTTTGTTTGCTTGTTTTTGTTTTTTCCTGGGAAGAACAGCAGAGAAAAAACTCTGAACCGTCCTCGAGACAACTTGTACTGGAGGAAAATAAATAAGATAGAAGGGAACAGAACAGCAGGAAAAAAACTTCTGGGGGATGCAGCATGGAAGAAAAGTTACATACTGGTTTTCCAGGAGGTCCTCTTTCCCCTGGATTTCCAGGTAGGCCCTATAAAATAGAAAAGAAAAATTCTATAAGATTATGATATGCTAACCCTCTGGTTGCTCCCACATTCTGCTGATTGCTTTGGACTGACAAATGCTTCTGCTGAGCACTACTGCTCTCTGCATGTGGCACACAGTCAACTCCTCCATGTACAAATTTAGAAGTTGTACTTCTCTGTTTTTTTGCTATTTCTTAATCACTTCTTCTCATTCCTTCCTAAATCTCTCTTATCTACATTATGACCCAGTGAAATTCGTCTGAGTCACACCACTGAAATTGCTCTGGCATGTCTCCTGGTCCCAGGAAACAGTATGACTGCGGAAGTGTGAAGGATGAAGCTTTAAATTCCTGAAGACACCTGTAAAATGAAAAATCATGGCCTCTCTTTGCATTAGTGTTGCAAACAAATCCTTGCACCAGAAATAGCAAGTAAACTTTCTTTTTTTCTTTTTTTCTTTTTCAATGTGAAAAAAAGTATTTGTGTCAGCTTTCATGAGATGATAATTAGGGAATGAGAAGCATTCTTGGAATTTAAGTTCCAAGCAGGAAACTATGGTTGGGAAAAGGGAACCCTAATGGGCATCTCTTGCCTGTTATTAGCAAGTTATTAATCTGTTAACAAACAATTTGTTTTGAATCTTTGCGTTAAGTAATGCTTACATGGGGAACTGAGTTTCTTAAGCAGAACAGCTGGTCATCACTCAGACAGTGAGGGAAATCTTCAGTGGCATTTTCAGTTGGACCACTCTCTAACTACTCTATCAAGCTAGCCTGTTGCCCTATGTAATTAGTCCTGCATATGTGTGATCCATTGCTATTGATCGTCTTAAATTGCATACAAAAGACTGACTTACAGAACCACATTTGCACATGCAGAACAGTTTCTACTTATTATTTAGAAGTATCTTGTGCTCAGTTCCGCTGCTTCTGCAAGGACCCACCTGAGGTGGTCTCTGATTCCCTGGTGCCAGATTCCCCACCCAGGACATTAATCAACAAAAGTAATGTCTGTAAATTGGCCTAGGCTTAGCACACCCAAGGAACACTTAGGGCTACACAAATTAGAACATGGAAAACAGCTTTAATTAACCAAAGGCTTTGTTAGGAAGGGGCTTAGGAATTATGTCAATCACCTGAATTCAAGTTGGTCCATCATTTCCAGTAAGTCCATTGTACTATTTATGAAGCCAACTAGGCAGGGAGTTCCTCGGCTGACTGGGGAGCTCATGATCTATGTGCACGGGGTGTGCACAGAGGCACAATTGTGATAACCTACTATACCACAGTTACAGCTATAGGGCAAAATAGGATTTCATCCTTGCATCTTGCTTATAATTTAAATTCTATAGTCCATGTCAGAGCAAAGAGAAAATAAAAAATATTTGGTAGCTCTTTTTCTATGTGCATATTAAACACTTCTGAGTGAATGACAACCCAACAGTTACCTTGGCTTCTTAAGAGATGAATATTAAATATGAACTAAGTGACATAAGCGGAACTGAACTAGTACTGAATTCCATGGATGAAAAGCTTGTTTTTAGAGGAAGCTAAACCTTCCACAGGTGAGACTCAAGAGAAGGCAAAGTGTGAAGGAGATATTCACATATTGGCTATGTTAAGGAAGATTCACACAGGATTTGTTTTAAGGAGTTCAACAGAAAGCAAAGACTTGAGCCACGAGAATCAACCTTGATCAGAAAGTAACTAGAACTGAAATTCTCTTCAACATGGCTATGATATCTACCTTGCATCAGATTGCTTTGAGACAAAGAGATAGACCTATCTTCTTGAAAGCTGTATGATGTGGAGCCAGTGACGTCTTTTAATAGGATGTAAATAAATCAGGATGAAAAAAGCCATGGTTGGTGAAATTGAAAACAGCAACCCCAGGAAAAGCCAAAAAGTTGAAATACAAGCCAGCAATAGAGTCTCATTTGATGAATGACTGTATGAGTTGAAATATAGGACAATGGCACTTCAGCATGTTGCATTATTGCAGAATAGGCAATGGGCTGAGTCCAAAACAAAGAAAACACTGCTGAGCTATGGAGACCTGGAGTTAGAAAACATAACCAGCTACAAGATATGAACTACTCTAAGTTGACTGAAAATGACAGAAGGTACAGAGTGTAACTGCAATTGATATTAGAATATCAATTAATAGTGTCACTGGATATCAGGGAGGACAAAGCAGGCAGCAACAGGGAGGTGTGATGCACAGGATCCAGAGTACTTGATTGACCTGCAAAAGGTGACACACACACAAACGGTCCCAAAGTGGGAATGGATGGAAGTTGTGTAAATGACATGTTGAAAAATGAAAGAAAGAAAATTTATAAGGAAGCCAGCCACATGCAACAGCAAAATCACAAGCATATGGTTGGGAAGTAGTACTACAGAAAACTAGACATAAAATCACTAGCATAGACGTGTTCTGATTTCCAGGAATAACAAGAAAAAAAAAGGAAACAATGACTATCCTTTGATTCGGGTTGCGTGAATTTTAAAGCAAAGATAAAAACTCCTTGGAAATGGCCTTATAACTGCATGGAAAAACCAACCCCAGGAAAGAAAAGTCTGTTCTTCAGATCCAGTGGCAGTAATGTATGCACACATTAAGTTTTTGCAATTACAAAAATAAATAGATGGAAAGATTAACTTCCCAGTAAAATTGGAATGTAGTTATCAGTAATAATTAGCACATTTAAGAATGATTAATGTTTATGTTAATTAAAATTATCATATTCAAAATACAGAAAGACCAAATCAAATGGGTGCCCTCAGTGCTATCTGTAGGACAAGAGACTTTGTCATTCAGATTGTATTTTAATTTAAGGTATGCTGAAAGGAAACTTTTTCTCTCCCAGGAGACAAGCAGAGCAGAATGGATGCTTCCAGAGAAAAGCATAGAATCACTTTCTGCAGCTTTCAGAGCATGACACAGATTTGGGCAATTTCTCTGGATAAATTACTTAAGGCTATGCTTTTTTTAATAGTTGATACAGGAATACTGCCAGCTTTAAATGTGCTTGGATTTTTCTTTTTTCCAAAAGTAAGTAAAATTAATATTTGAAGTAATTTTATTGAAGGAATTAAATTAGGCATGCAACAGTCCTATTATGGAGAAAAGTAGTCCAGCTAGAGGGAAATACAAATTACTGAATAATATTATGGAATGGCTTGAATTAGAGGGGTCCATAAAGCCCACCTATTTCCAACTCCCCACCATGGACAGGGTTGCCACCCATCAGATCAGCGTGCCCAGGATTTGATCCAACCTCCAGGGATGGGACAATCACAGTTTTTCTGGGCAACTTGTTCCAGTGCCTCACCATTCTCTGAGTAAAGAATTATCTCCTATAATCTAATCTAAATCTCCCTTCTTTTAGTTTAAAATCATTCTGCTTTACTGAACTTTATTAGGCTCACATGCACACAATTTTCAAGTCTGTCCAGGTCCCTCTGGATGGTATCCCTTCCTTCTGCCATATCAACTGCACACTCAGCTTAGTATCATCAGCAAAATTCCTGAGGGTGCACTCAATCCCACTCTCTAGATTGTTGATAAAGATATTAAAGAGCATCAGTCCCAGCTCAGACTCCTGAGGGACTCATCACCAGCCTCCACCTGGACACAGAGCCATTGAAAGCAACTCTCTGGTGCTGGTTATGCAGCCAATTCCTTATCCATGAAATAGAAGACCCAACAAATCCACATTCTGCAATTTACAGATTAGGATTTTTGTTGTGTGGGACTGTGTCAAAGACCTTACAGAAGTCCATTGGTTGGTCTTCCATTGTTGGCTGATACTGTTGCTCCATTCTAGCAGGCCACCAGAGGGGCCAGGCATAATTTGCTCCTGGTGAAGCCATGCTGGCTATCTCAGATTACCTCTTTACCTTGCATGTGTCTTAAAATAATTTAAAGGGAGATCTGTTCCACGATCTTTCCTGGCACAGAGGGGAGGCTTACCAGCCTGTAGATGCCCAGGTACTCCTTTTTACCTTTCTTAAAAATGGGAGTGATGTTTCCTTTTTTCCAGACAATGGGAATTGGCCCAACAGACGTGACTTTTCAAATATGATGGAGAGTGACTTGGCAGCCACCTCAGCCAGTTCCTTCAGGACACTTAGATGCAAGATATCTGGCCTTTTGACTTGCATATATTTAATCTCATCAAGTGTTCTCAAACTCTCTCTCTGCTTACAGTGGGAGGGATTTTGCTCCCCCAACCTCTAACTGGAGGTGCAGGGACATGAAAGATTTGGAAAGCCTGGTTGCCAGTAAAGACCAAGGCAAAGAACATGTTGATTATCTCAGCCTTCTCTTTGTCCACTACAGCCATTTCTCCCTTCTTACTTATCAGAGGGGATACACTCTTTTTGGGGGTACGCTCTTCTTTTCTAACCAGTGAACCCACAGAATCTCTTGTTATTCTTTGCATCCTTTGCCAAGTTCAGTTCCATCTGTTCCTTGGCTTTTCTGTTCCCATCCCCAAACATAAGAAGGAAAAAAAAAAAAAAAAGAAACAAACAAAAAGAAGAATATAAAAAAGTTTGCTTTAAGTTCAGGCTTTAAGAATCGGGGCTTTAATTAATTTAAAAAACAAACAAACAAAAAAACAAAAAAACACAGATTTAGAGAGAATAACACAGGTATACCAGAGATGATAAAGAGAAAAAAAAAAAGAAAAAAAGCAGTAGATTCAGCTGTTCACTGCTTTGTCCAGAAGAAGAGGTTCTGCAGAGATTTATGGACAGATTTTTTGAGCACAGAACCACAGAATTATAGAAGTTGGAATGGACATCTGGAAATCATCCAGTTGAACCCTACGTTGAAGCAGGCTCCCTTCAGAAGGCTGCACAGGAAAGAGTCTGGTTAAATTCCGAATATTTCCAGAGAAGGAGACTCCACAACCTCTACAGACAGCCTGTTCCAGTGCTCTGTCACCCTCGAAGTAACAAAGTTCTCCCTCACATTCAGATGGAACTGCCCATGTTCCAATTTGTGATCACTTGACTCCCAACCATTAGATATTTATAAGCATTGATAACATTCCCCCTCAGCCTTCCTCAGGCTGAGCGGTCCCAGGTCTCTCTGCCTTTCCTCATAGGGGAGATGTTCCATGTTCCTCATCTTTGTGGCCCTCTGCTGGTCTCTCTCTAGAAGTTCCACATTGAACTCTCCAGCCTTGAGGTCTCACTGAACTGCAGTACAACCTAATGGTGTGTCAGACTCTCCTTCCAGGATGCAGTCATGCAAAAAAACAACAACAACAACAACAACAAAAAGTGCTCCTCTGAGAGATAATTCTGGTCAAAGCTACTGCAAAGGGAGTATTTATTCTTTCACCTCCTGAAATACAACTCTAAATATGATATTACAGTATCAGGGAATATAATAACCTGTAAGACACATTTCCAAGGGCATCTGATGAGTCAGCAGTTGGAAAAACAAGGCAGAGAATAGACTACTGTATGTAAATGTGATTTAGAAGAATTAATCAGTCTCGGGGAAAAAAAAACAAAACAAAACAAAAAAAAACAACAAAACAAAACACCATGAAATACATTTGCAGAGGCCACAGCAAAAGACAAGACATTGAGGCAAGTCATTAAGGCTGTTGCTACTGAATAGCTTCGGAATTATGTGGCAAGCTCCTATCAGCAATTCAAATCAGAGTGTTTCTAACTGATGACATACTGCATAAACACAAGAGAATACAAAAATGGGCAAGCTTCAAAGAACACAGAAATGCTACACTGATACAGAAATGTGCAAAAAGCAGAATCAGAAATCCTTTGTACTATGCATAAATGAAAGTGGAGATCAAGAAACTGGGAAACGCAGGATCTTGTCAAACAAAGTATCCCTGCTGTTATACCAAGAAATGCTGGAATGTGCTCTGTAGTTATATTTACACATCCTGAAATACAGGTAGAATTGCTTAATAGGTGATCAACCAGAAAACATAGTTTTGAAAGGCATGCTGACTGCAATTAAATCAGTTTGTGTAATAGAAGATGTGCTTTCTAAGTACCATAAGCAATGGTTTTGCTTGGGTAATTTCCTGCAGGGAGTAGGAGAGATAGAAAGACTGCAGTGCTGCTTCTCCAAGAGTTGACCAATCAACACTGATCTGAGCAGAACCAGAACAAGACTTAGAAAAGCTGGCTTTACACTCTCCTCATATGCACTTGCAATAAGCTCATCTGTTTTATCTCCTGTATAAAAGCTCTGTTAAAGAACCTCTTGGTTAAAGAACTCAAACATTTGCAATGGTTGCTCAGGGACACAAAGTGATAGACCGTTTCTGCCACAATAGGCTTTTGAGGAACGCCACTGTCACAATCATTTGTCTTACGATGGAGCGGGTGAACAAAAAACCCAAGACCTTCTTTTCCAAATGTTTCAGGAGAAAAGGAGAGCTATTTTATAGAAAAGAGCACCCTTTATGATAATTGGTGTATGTCAGTGCATGAAGGATAACATGCTCACAAGTACTTAACGAAAATTGGTACCCCTTTCAGATAAGACAGCATAAGAAAGCTTGATGAGAAGAGAGTTACAGAAGGCCACTGTCCCTTTCCCACAGCATTCCTCCAACAGGCACAAATGCAAAGATTGCATCTCAAAATCTTCACAGCCCCCTTGCTGATTTTCCTCCAAGGCAGGTTTCCATGTCACAGAACTGGCTTACCAGCAGAGAAAAAATCTCTTCCCTCATTCAACACTGTGACAAAACTGGGCAGTGAGAGGGCTCAGCTATCAAGCTGGGAGTCTGCCTTGCTTCCCTCTATCCCTTAGCTCCATGACTCAACTGCAGAGAGTTGAGTGAGGAGAATGCACAAAGAAGAGGTTAAAGTGTCATCTCTTAAGCACAGCAGCAGCAGTAAAATGAACTCATAAACAGCTTTTTAGTGGAGGTGACCTTATTTTTATAGAAATATTATGGGTTACTTATCTTAGAGACTTCTATGAATTTCCTAGAGAGCTTAACTATCATCCTTTTCTACTGTAGGATCATTCCCCAGTGTATGCTGCCACATAAGTTGTCCATCGCTTTCCTCCAAAAGTTACTCTGCGGCCTAAATTTCTTTTTCCCCGAAATCCTGAAATAAGAGTTCAATTTTTGCAAATCATCTCCAACAACCAAGGTTGAGTACGCACACAATTTTTAGGGAAATTAGTCTTAAGCATCAGCAAATTTTGTAAGCACTTACACTTTTGTTTTACTTACATCCTGGCCAGGAGGCCCCTGTGGTCCAGGGATACCAGGTACACCACGAGGACCCTGGCAGGGAGAGAACAGACACAAGCAGAAACATGAGCTGTACTGGCCAGATTATCCTTAGCTGAAGAGAAAAAAATACTGAACTCAATGATTATTTGGAAAAAAAAAACCCACCACCAACACCCCACCATGCTAACAGTTAAACACACTTTCAAAAGAGACTAGAATAAAATAATTCCACATTAAACTATCACAGCATCAGTTGTTTCTGTGCCTAGAGGAACTGTAAGTGTATCACTCCAGTCAAATCTCCCATACCTCAACTGGAAAGGTAATAATGACTCTTTATAAGAAGGCAAGTATAAGAACAGGGAGAAAATACAACTGATCAAGGGACTGTGGAAAAGACAATTCAATTTCTTGGTGTCAAACTAGTGCACACCATGACTGGGCTATACCACTGGAAATGCATGCCAGCATATAGTAAAACTACAATAAACAGCCATTTGTTTCATACCTATTGACTGCATCCTAGTAAATGATTAAAGGAAATACTTAAATGCAGGGTTTTCTGCAAGCCTTAAGCAAGAAAAATGCTTAAAAGTATTTATATTATATATATTATATTATAAAGCATGATAACACGCCTTGAATTGTCTGCCATGACATACTTCTTCTTTCCATCTGTGGGAAATATTCTGAGGGGTGAGGAAAAGTTGTCACCAGAACAAGAGTCTGGATAACTCTTTTTCTCATAACCCACTACAGCAAACATGTAGTGGTAGTGCATATCTGAAGTCTCATTTGGCTAATCAGCCAACATATGACTCTCCCAACATGTGACTAAACCAAAAAATTAATCATGATTTTATGAAATCGCTGATAGTAACAAAATTCATTTGTTTGCCCCCTCCCCATAAAATTTGGGTGTAGTGAGAAAGACATACTGTACCAATGATCCTTTGTCTCCTGGGGGTCCAACAGGGCCCTGCAAATAGAGAAGACTGAGCAATCAAAATACTAGCAGAGCTTAAAATTAGCATTCCATTTGATTGAACAGGTGGGTCCCTGAAGAATAGAGATAAGAAAAAAGAGAAAAGAAAGGGAAAGGAAAAGGAGCAAATCTGACAGGCTGCCCAGACAAAAATATGCAATACTCACAGTGGGATGTTCAGAGGGAAAATCAAAGGGAGAAACTGAGATGGATCATGGAGAAAAAGTGGGAGAAAAAAGGAGAAAAAGAGACTAAAGAGGACAGCTGTATGTTGACATGTCGCTTGTCAGACTGAGCCCTCCACATCATCATCACATTCTGCCCTATCTTATCATTAAATCCAATTTGTTACCCTCTTCCAAGTGGGTGAGCTGATGAATTTGAGTCTGTAGGCTCTTGGTGAGCCTGAAGTCAGACTAGCTGAATAGGAAAAGTGTGAGTGCCGACAACAGGGCTGAGTGGCTGTGAACATGTGCTTTTTTCGTGATTACGTGAGTGTTGTTCAGATGTACATGGGTGTTGATCAAGGCATTCGTTTCCAAATTGACTTGTGTGGCAGCATGTCTATTTGTGTACGTTGTACATGCCCACTGGCAATATGGGCTCAGCCTCGCTACTGGCTGAACCCAGGGATGCAGAACTGCAGCAGCCTTTCATGTTTTGGACTGGGACAGGAGAACCTCCCCATGGTCCTGAAAGACACTGTGTTCAACTTCCTCTAGAAGTAGGAAAAGCATCTCATGGGATCTGCGTGCTCTTTAAATGAGGTTAAAGGAAAGGATCCAGTGGACTTGCATACACTATTTCTTTGGGAATGCAGCTTACACAGGTGCATAGTGGAGTGAACAGACTAGAAGGTATCCACTCCTAAAGGCACACTAAAGAAGTGATGCAGTACCCATATCCAGCAGGAATGGATCAATCTGACATTCCAAACACATCCCAGACATAGTTTGACCTCACATCCCTAGGACTGTATTTGAATAAATTGTTTCACACTACGGCTCCTCTCCCTTTGCTTTCTATTTCAGGCATATTAACTTACTAATCCTCACAAAGTTCTCCATGCAAGATGCCTTAATGCTTTGCTAAAGCAAGGGCTAAATGCATAATGTTAAACTCATTGTAATATGAAGAAGGAAAGACAGATCACAAGTAATTACCATCAAATTAGTGCATCACATATTTCTATCAGGGAACTTGAATATGAGCATGTGGATTCACCCCACTTCTCCATGCAGTCACTTCTGCTTTTAGTTCAGTTGGGAAAATCACACACTGCTAAAACTCACTTTATGGCTCAGTAGTAATACAATACTTTAGCAGACAAAGCAAATGCAAACAACAACAACAAAACTCACCCTTATCTATCTAAACCTTTCACACAGGGAGCAAAACTCAAGAGAGATTAAGGGCACAGGAGGAAACAAGGTGAGGACTCCAATTAAAACAAATTGCTGACTCTTACGTCTGAAACTGAAAACATTATATACCCAATTTTGTCATATTACTAGAAAGGGTACAGGCTGACGCATTTATTCAGTGTATAATATGCACTGAAGCATCTCCTCCGAGGATATTCTATTTTTTAGTGGGACTCAAGATGTGTGAAAGCTTGATGGATTAAATGTTATATAGCATTTCTCAAATTGTTCAAATTCTGAGTCTTTGAACTGGAGCAAGGTTAAAAAAAAATAAAATCAATCGGGAGTATTATGGTATGTACTGGCACCATCTACTCATTTTGATAGTGGTCAAACAGCAAAGACATAACGCAAAGTAATCCTCTGGTGTGTGTCAGGTGATGGCTACAAGTGATAGAGTGAAGTTCTTAGTCATTGCATGAATATATGTGAAGAATAACTTTGGCTTCCTCTGTACATAAGAGTGCAGAAGAGAACTCAGGTAACCCTGTAATGGATCTACAACTCATTAATTAAATACTAGACACATAAATACACGTTAAATACTAGTGTCTTTCAAAGAAGTCATTCATTTCTAATTCAACTTTAATATTAATGACCAAACCTTAAGAAGTGCAACCAACATCACTGTTCCTTATCTAAATCATAGCAAAGTAACACTCAGTGAATCTTCTATCACTGATACCATTGTTAAGCACCACGATAGCCATGATATGGTCATGGTGTGCTATGAAACCAACCCTGTCTGCTTTACTATACGGAGTATTCAGCAGGGTAAAACCAAATATTAAATGGAAGTACACCCCAGAAGGCTAGATTTATTAGCCAGTATCATGCAATATCAATTATCATTTCAAAATAATTTCATGTACTGAGAAACTCCTAAGCAGATAATCAGAGCATGAAAATGTTGGCTTTGGCTGGTACAGTATCGTGGCATGTATAAGGGGATATGAAAGGCTGCAAGGACTCTGATGTTCTCTAGCAATTTTAACTAGGTATGAAGTTTGATTCCTTCTAGACTTATTTCATTTGTGCATTTAGTGGAACAGGAGGGCTACAGAGTCAGAGCACTCTCAAATCCCCTTGATCTCAAGAGCATATTAAGTATTGGGATGATCAAATCCCAACAATATCATACTTTCTGGAACAAATCCCACAAACATCTCATGCCCATTAATAATTGTAGAACTTCAACAACAGCAGGAGATGATGGCAGAGCTGGATCAGATGTAACTTAATCTCTGAGGGAAATTATGAAGGCAATGGCTCTCTTGGAAGGCAGTGATTTAACTAATCTGATTTTATATTTCCCTATCAGAGTACTGTGTACTGATGTGGACATGTGTGTCACCATCATTCCTCCTAATAAGGTGACAGCAGGGTTACATCTCCCTGTTAAACTAACTCTGGTAACTCAGCACAGACCTCAGCTCCCATCCAGAGCCACTGTGTCAAGATGTTGTGGAAAAACCGCAAGTAACAGACAGCTGCATCAATCACTCTGATAGCACTTTTCTGCCTTTCTCTTTCAACTAAAACCAAATGCATCAAGAGCCCTCACAACAAACTTGTGGGCATCAGAGCCATGAATGGCAGCTTCCGGGCTAGCATTGTGCGTCTTCAGAGAGTGAAATGCTGTAGGCTCTTGGCACAGGTGGGCACAGGTGAGCACAGGGAGCCCATTCTCCAGATGGCAACAGTTAAAGATTAACTTTTTGTCTCATCACAGTTTGCAACAGCTCCTGCTACTTACAGGTGGTCCAGCCAGTCCAACTCCTGGCACACCTCTGTCTCCTGGCTGTCCAGGGAGGCCAGGAGCTCCCCTCTCACCCTAAAATAAAGGGAGAACTTAAAAGCTTTGTCCACTGCAGAGAAAATGTGCTGAAATACAACACAGTTTTCCAACAGAACATAACACTGATACAACCTTGATCCTGCCCAGTATGACATGGGATCAGGTTGTGGCAACACAGTTTCTGTCGTGTCCTGCCAAGAGAAGTGCCTCCCTACTTCAGAGGGGTACACCTTTGTGAGCACTGACACCACGTCAGCATGTGCCACATCTCATAACTGAAAAGGAACACAGCTTCCACAAGTATTTTAATTCATTTTAGCACACAGCATCCAATTTCCAACAGTAGTTCCATACGCTACAATGTCTGATACACACTGCAGTAATTTGAGAACATCAGATTTCAGAAGAATAGTGCATCTGCTTTCATGGAGTTTCACACTTGCATTTGCAATTGCCAGCAGGGTACTATGAGGCATTTCCCGTAGCTTGGGCAAACACTAAGCACAGTAAAGTGTTCTCCTTTCTTCACATTCTTTTGTGAAGAAATGCTTGCTAACCTGTAAGCATTGATAAATGCATATTATTTATATAGGGAAGACAGAATTAGGAAGTTGGGATGCATCTTAATATTCTCCTTTACCAACACAAGCTTGTTCACAGCAGTGCATTAACAATTTTTAAAAACCCATTCTACTACTCTCCCTAGGGGACTATACTACAAATAGAGAGATCTCCCTTCCAAAAAAATGAATTTTCAACATTAAAATTTGCAGATCACAGACAGTTACTTGGTGCTATTTAATGGGCACTGTAGATAGAGGGTTAAGAAAAAAATCAGTTACAGTACTTAAATTTAATGTCCTTTCTCTTTCCCTGTTATAGAGAGAAATATCAAATAAGATTTTTTTATGGATTATATTGCAGTTGTGAGAGTCAGTCTCACTCTGTCAGTAGACATATAACAATGAGCCTTATTTATGTTATTTATTATTACACTATTTCCAACTGTACAGAAGCTTGATAGAAAAATGGTTACCCATGGATTCTACCTGGGCCCAAGATCATTCTGCAATATCTCCTACTTTATTTCCTTTCTTTTTCTTAAACTAATCTTCTATTTCAAAGAAACAATACTACAGGGACAGTGAGAGAAAATGTATTCTCATTAGTTCAGGCACTCCTGCAGATCCCTTATCTGTTACTTTGTTCAAGAACATAATTTCAGTACAAAAATTTCAAGAGTATTTTTCCATGCACAATTAAGATTCCTAACGTCTTGTGTTGATATTGAACAACGTATTTCATTAGATTGCCTTCAGTTTTTGTTTTTTTTTCTCATGAATTTTATATTACTTTCACTCTATTGTTGTGTCTACCTTCTGAACTGTCAAGATATATACAACAGAGTACAGTGTATTTATGCAGGATGCAGCAAAAACAAAAGAAAATGTTTCATAGCAGTTTGGTTATTTCAAAAATATGGGACTTCGATCATATTGCTGTATTCGTACCAATCATTTACAAAACCTGTTTCAATACCCTATTTTTCTAACATTCCAAATCAAGACACAGTCATTATTTCAAAGAGGAGAATTTCTGATATATCTGACTGAAGACTCAAGCACAATCCAAATGCTTCCAGAAGCAAATGCTATTGCTGTTCTATTCCTTTCTTTACTTGCTATCTACTCACAAAGGAATAAACTTCATTTTCAGTTGAAGACATTAATGTTGTTAACTTAATCAACAAACTAGTCTTTGTCTTAGCTGCAGTATAGGAGAGCAAACCAGAAATACCCAGTCTCACTGGAAAGTATTTGATTTCCTCTTGAGAGAGGTAAAATAAAAAAGCAGACCATATTTTCACCATAACTTTAAATTCAGTTCTAGCAGTGGAAAGAAGCAGTCTGTAATAAACAATAAAGTCCTTACTCACCTTATGTCCAAAAGGTCCTGGCAAGCCTGGTGGGCCTCTTTCTCCCTAAAGTGACATAACCAAAACCAGGGAAGAGTCATTGCATAGCCAGAATGGAGCCTGGCCTTTGAGGGAGGCGAGGTAGCACAAGTTCCCAGCACTCACCCCCCTTCCTTGTTCTACACCATCCTGGTAAAAATATTTTACTGACAACTTGTAAGCAGATTACAGTCTGCTAATTTAGCTAGAAGTAAATGTTTTTAGGGAATTTTCATCAAGCTATTGATGGTCACAACAATCGTTTGATGGTTATTTGTTGTGGAGGCCATTCTGGATGGCCAAGATGGCACACTTTCACAGTTCAGAAACTTCAGTCCTCTCTACCTTTTTGGATACAGCACTGTGATTTGCAACATCCTACACAACAAAGGCTTTTGTGCCCTCATGTGTCTTGCAGACACCCGTGAGATCTCAACCTAACACTCTACCTGAAGTCCACCATTCCCTCAGAAGCTGCATTTGTCAAGCTCATACTGAGCTACTCGAGCACAGTGCTTGCCAGCAGTACTTACCTGTTCTCCATCTTTACCTTTGCCAGGCAAACCCGGCTGTCCAGGAGGCCCTGGCACCCCAGCTGGCCCAGGTAAACCCACTTTTCCTTCTTTTCCTGGGTCACCCTGCAGAAGATAATCCAATAAAGCTGTCAACCATACATTAAAGACCATTCCTGTCCGAGGTCTTTCACTGGGACTAAAAGATCTACCTTTTCTTCTAGCTTTCTCATCTGAACATAGGGAACCATCTTTTAAAGGAAGCCTTTTTCTTCAGAAATCTCAGGGCATTTTATTTTCCTTAAAAAAGCAAAACATTTCAAAATGTTTTGGGTACTGACTAGATGAGAGAGTTGTTGATCCACACATGGCGCTGAGATGAATGTCAGTAATCTAAAACACTTTCAGACTGAGGAGGCTGGGATTTGTTTCTTTATAAATCCTATATCCTACATACATGGGTCCCTGTTTGTGATTAATTATTCCTACTCTGGCAAAGAAAAAGAAAAAAAAAGATGAGGACTTTGGCATGCTGGCTGCTTGTAATGTACTGGTAAACTACAAGTCCCTGGCATGAAAAAGTATATTGACTAGATATGAAATAAAACACAATAGTTGGGCAAAGCAGACATAGGTGGGAAAGAGTGTATTGGACGGCTGAGCTTATGGTCATATTTGGTAGTTTACCAGAAAAGCAGAAATCTGTTTCCTAAACAACAAAAGCAAGCTTTTCTTCCAGTTTTGGGTTTGAAGTGGTAAGCAAGCATCTCACAAAGTACTGAAGGGTGAGAACAAAAGAAGATCATCATTGTATAAATATGTAGCAGTGACTTTGGCATATTCAGTTGTACCTCAGTAGTTTTATTAGGTAAATCATAACGCTGCAACAGGGTGAAATCCTTGTAGCATGTGTAATAGAATAGGTCAGATGAGATAATCTAATGAGTCCATGTGTCCTAGCAGTGTATGAACCTATGAAATCATTTGCCAGTTCAAGCTGTTTCTGTCCTAAGTTACTTAAAATGCCCCAAGGAAAAGGAACAAAGCCAGGTAAGAACAAACTCACCTTTTCCCCTCTTTCTCCCTCTTTCCCTGGTAGTCCAGGGTTTCCAGGTATTCCCTGAAGAGAAAAGAACTTTAAAGACTAGAATCTTTTTAGGCAGCAGTTGATCCTAAAGAAGATGCATGGACCAGCATCAGCATGTTCAACATGGTCTGTCTCAAGGATTATGAGACATGAGGATTATGAGTTTTACGCTTTCCTCTGCAGACAAGTAGAGAGTTCAGAGAATCCAACAATCCAGAGAACATCACAGAAGAGCTGTGTACCAAGTGCTTACATGAGGTTTGAGTTTGTTTGGGGGTTTTTTTTCGATATAAAAAAGAGCTGAACAGCAAAAGCTGGAATGGAGCTAATTCCAGATTCGTGCATTCTTCTACCCATAACATTTTTGTTCTGTGAAATCCTCAGCAGTTCTTAATCCATTACCAACAAATTCCAACTCCTTTCTATCAGAGAAGCCAAAAGTCTCACAGTATTCCATATTTTACAGCTAACAGTCTCCAAAACTGGAATATTTGACTATGTTTGTTTTACCCTTTATTTCAATTTTTTGTTCCTCTTCAGGTCTTGGCAGATTCCAAAGCATTCCTTGTCAAAATATAGATGAAATCAAACCCTGTGGCTTCCTAACACACCAAAATGTGTAAATGTTGTAGAGTTGCACTCCATTTTAAGATATTAAATGATGTTTTGGCACCATAAGATTGGACTGACTTCTTCTCTGCGTGGACATGATGATTATTTTCTTTTATGTATCAGTAAAAAATATTTACTTATATCAGCTTTTATAAGTAATATATTGGCATTAGTGGTAAAGAAATTTGCTTAAAGGATTGTAAAATTGAACAAATTCTTCATTTTAGATATAATCTTCCAATCTGAAATGAAATCATTGCGCTAATACAATTAAATGAAATGTAGATTAACAATTAGGAGAAAGGCAATTTGATATTATTTGGACTGCCTAGTTGACAAACTGCCTTCAAGAGCCTTTGTGCTAAACCATTGTTCCTGAACATATTTCAACCTGAGGTCTAAGTGTTGTTTTTCACTTACTCTACTGTAATTCTAAAGAAATCCCAAGCACTAAATGGAGAGTTATAATGGCGGAGCAGGGAGTAGAGTTACTCTAAAGGTTTCTGTGCAGACATGAAAAGCTCTGTCAGGCACAATATAACGATGGTGATGAATACCTACTGAGGTAAGAGGATGTTGTACATCTTCAAGGCACTGATTGTAGGATCTAATATTTACATATTTTCATAACAAATATAGGAGCTTACTATGCAATCTTGATATCAAGTAGTCATGTTTTCAAAAGGAAAGGACAAATGGAAATGAGGTGAAGGAAACAAAACCAAAGAGACAATAAACACTGTAATTTTTCTCTTGAGGAGCTGGCAGAAAAAAATGTTTTTTTACAATTTGAAGAGGAGTGAAGCTTTTCCATGCCTCCCTGTTGTTACAAATGAATATGAAAATATGTTTCATAGAAACATCATTCCCAAGTGCCTCCACATCTTTTGATTCAAAAAAGTAAAGAAGTGTAATGAAACACAGCCTTTTGAATCTGATAGTAAACCCCCACAGGAGGTTTAAATAAATTAAATAAAGAGACCAGGGCACAGATGAGAAAACAAATACACTGGTGCTTACATACCACATTTCCTGGCAATCCTCTTGGTCCAGGAGGCCCCACTGGTCCAACTGCACCCTTTTTAAAGAAAGTGAAATTTATGTACATATGTAATTCACAACTCGTACCACCATAGGAACAAGATGTTCTAAGTGGAACTGAGGTTTATATCATACAAGATGTTGTACAAGCACAAAGCAAAAGAACAACATTTTTTTGAAACACTTTGAAGTGTAAAGAAGCATGAAACAATTTAAAAAAAAAAAAAAAAAAAAAAAAAAGATTCTCAGAAGCTTAAATTACCCACATCAAACTAAAATCCAGCTAAGTCCAGCTCAGATTCAGGAAGAAAGGTCTGAGACCAAAACATCAAAAGAACAGAGAAAAGTAAGTTTATTTAAGATGAAAATGAAAATCTTGGCCAACAAAATGTGCTCTGTTGAAAACAAAAACCTGAAAAATACTCATTTGTGTTAGATAGAAAAGCATCACAAATCATTCAGAGTGTTTTTGTTCTGAAGTACAGGTATTTTCATCTGCAGCCCTATTCAGTATGTATGCCTCCAAACATGCATGAGGGACATGGGAGGAAATATTTTCAGATTATGTCCCCAGAGAGACATATGCTTGGGGTTACAGGCTGTAGCTAGACATTTTCTTCTAGGCCTGACAGTATCAAGCCTAAGTCATTATCTCTGGAGTTACTCATCACTCTACACAGGCCAGGGTTCACTTGCTGTCACAGCTTCACAAGGAAAAGTGTTTCTATCAGCATTCCTAAGCCATTCAGGATGAAAACAGGCAGACTATCTAAAAACATCTGCACTGGCAAAGTGAAATAATGTTCCTGACTTGGAATACAGAAACCCCTCCTATGGGAAGATCTGGGTAGCAATTTCTTGCAGAGAGACAACACAAACAGATGGGAGATTGTGAAAATCTTGCACAGCACAACTGTGAAGAGTATTCACAGCAAATGGATGACTTTCCATCAAGCTCACTGTAAGAGAATTAAAGGTTTCCTCATTACTGTGTTATTTGCAGTTACTGGTATGTGAGTCAAAAGAAATGTGGAGCAGCGGCAGTCTGTGATGGGATGGCAAACAAAAGGCATACGTGTGCATTTCCATATCATTATGCTTTCCAAGCCACGTTATGCTAATCAGTGAATAGGTTTAGAGGGAGTGGGGCACCCTTAGCTGCTTTTCTCCACATGGACTAAGGAATCCTTCAACAGAAGACGATGGAGACTTGAGGAAAGGCAGTTGAGAGTCTAGGGTCAATGCACTGCTAAATACAATGTCTGAGCACAAATCCAAGCAGGAAAATCATAAACACAAAGACACAAGGAGAAACTCAGTGCTCTAGGATTCTTTGCTTGGATTTCCTATGGCTTTCTTCTCCCATATACAAACATATAATCACAGAATCATAATGTCTTTTGGGTTGGAATGGACCCTTAAAGGCCAGGTAGCCCAACTCCCCTGCAATGAAAAGGGACACCACAGCTCAGTCAGGTTGCTCAGAGCCCCGTCCACTCTGACCTTGAATGTCTTCATCATCATTTGGGGGGTTGGACTCGATCTCTGGAGGTCCCTTCCAACCCCTACAATTCTGTGATTTAGTAATTCAAACTCCAAAATTATCATCTCTCCCAGTCATTACTTGAATGAGTTCTTCAGTTTTCCTTCTCTGCTTACAAAGAAAGTATGTGGCCTTTTATTCAGACACAAAAGGAGTATACAACTGCTATAGTAATAAAACAGGGCTTGAATCTTCAGCTGTTCTTTAGCATGTAGTCAGACAATAGTAGCACTCTGTGGAATACAGGCCTCAAAAAGTGGTACATAATGATTCCTCTGGTGATGAGACTTTATTAAAGAAAGCAAAATTGACTACGAAACCTAAAACCAACTGTTATCAAAAACTAATTCTGGCTGCTGCTGGGAAGCTACTCCATGCACCAGCTGACTGCCTGGGCTGGGCTGATAGCACGGTGCAGCAGCAAGCTCTGCCTCACTTCACTAAGAAAAGTTGGCTTTTGTTAGAGAAGGAGACTTATCCAAAAAAGGACAAACAACTTAGAGCTGGCTGATTGGGGCATTGATTGGTTTTGTGCTGCTGCATTTGTTTGCCCACCAGCAGTGACTCTTCTTTCAGCTGTATTAGGATGTGCCCTGCTTCCAAGCAGCCTGGGACCATGAATCAGCAAGGCAGGGAGGGACTTCCAAGTCCCTTTAGGTGTGTTATTGCCAAGGAAAAATGCTGCAAGGGAACAGTTACTCACAGCCTCTCCAGGGGCTCCAACTTCTCCTCGGGCTCCTTTCTGCCCCTTTGTCCCCTGTGCAGTAAGAAAAGAAGTACCAGCTGATTAGAGATGGGATGGGAATGCCTGTCAGACAAATAGACTTCAGGATGCCTGAACATGTACTCAGCTAATCAATTCGCAGAGGAGTTCAACAGCTGAGGAAATGGCTCCCAGTTCTCTATGCAGCAAGAAAATGAAATATAAAAATAAAACCCTGAGACATAAGAAGAATTACTAATGACTGATCAGCTCAGAGGCTATTTCACTGTACTGCACGTTGGAACTTGCAGACATTCGTCTAGGGGAAGCTGCCTCCTATCCTCAGGCCAACCTGATGCTTCCATCCTAGCTGAACTCTGATGATCTCCTTGCAAAGGGGAAGTTTGCCTGCAGTTCTCAAATACTAATAATCATTTAGAAATGGTCAAAATAGATTACAGTGCAGTGAGTTTGCTGTGGTCCTACATACTACTTAGTTCTTTCATTAGGATTTTGGCATGACAGAATGGAGTCTATCCATTGATCTGGTCTCCCTTTCAGCAAATGTTACTTGAAAGTTATACGGTATTATGTTTGTTCTTGTTTTTTTGTGTCACTGTTTTCATGATGCAAAGACTGCTATTAAGCAGTATTTGCCGATTATCCCCAACTAATAGATGTGACTTGAATGCAACACAAATGAAGACAGAATAAATACCCTTCTATGTTTATATGGAGACATACCTCAGTGGTACATGGAAATACTGTGCATGAGCCAGAAATTTTTCAGAAGATAATTAAGATTATAAATCCATTTAACATGAGTAATAATGCTGTCAGGGTTAAGTGAGCTGGGGTTGAGCCTGAATGCTCTGCAACATTTTGTTAATGTATTGCAGTAACTTATCAGTGAGACCTGTGCTTTGGTGGCACAAATACCAGGTGCCCTTGTGGAGGAGCCTAAAGTTGGGAGAAGACCCTCAGATGACACTGGTCTTTCCTCAAATATCACATATTTCTGCTTTAAATCTTCTCATATTGTCCAACATAAGCAAATACCTGTACAGTAGTCCCTGTACTTAGAACGATGTAGGAGAAATGGGATGTTGGTGTACAGGGAAGGAATTATTCACAGTGAGATGCACCATGAAGTCAACCCTCTCTGATCATACCAAAGATTTACTTTAAGTTATGCTCTTCTTACCTGGAGTCCTACAGCTCCTGGGACACCCTGTTCACCTGGGATCCCCGGTAATCCCTGCAAAAACAGAGGCACAGGCGGAAGAGCTGAAGGAAACAGTTCAGTTCTTCCCTTCATCAAAAGATGTTATTCCTCCCTCACACTGAGAGAAGAGAGAGTGTTTTTTATGCAGGCTGGGACTGCACAGCTCTCTACCTCTCCTGAGAGCTCCTTCCAGAACAGGAGCAGAGCCAAATATAAATGGAGTAGCCAACTGCACTCTTTAGACTCTTCTCCCATACTCTTCTTCTTCTAGCCATAGGGTACAGAGCTAAAAAATTAGGTGCTTAATTTCATATAATCTGTCTTCCTGTGTAGCCAACACCAAACAACCCTGTGGTTATTTTTGATAAGAGAAGATTCCTGACTATGGAAAGAGCATGTCCCACACTCTCTCTCCAAAAGAGGCAGCTCTCATGTCTTCTTACTAGAATTTAAAACTAACTTAAGAAACACTTAGCTGTACTTACAGGTTCTCCACTTGTTCCCCGATCTCCTTTCTCCCCTTTGGGTCCTGGTTCACCCTGATAAAAAACAAGACAAATAAACCAGAAGACACCCTAATCTTGTTTTGTAAGAGACTCGTTTGATCAGATATCCATTTCTGGCATTGAGTATATTCCTCAAAGGACTTTGGAGATTTTGTCTAGACTGCTAGGATTAGTATAATACTAATTGCAAAAATATTCAGTTTTAAAAGAGAAGAGTTTTCCTTCATTGAGAAAAGTAGTTGAAGAATTTGCTGTCCTCAAATTTGATCAGTTCTGCTCCACTTTATTAATAGGACAGGTGACACATCCAACAGCAAAAGCACCAGGGCCACTGCATTGCATTGTCTCTCTGTGAGACCAAAAGCCGAAAGCTATCCTACAGCATGGAAAGCATCTTACATACAAACAGATTGTTATTTCACCTTTAAGACTGAAGGAATTTTGAGCACTTCCTGAGATGTGTATTACACAGCTTTTCCAAATCTCTAGTTCTGCCAATAATTCCACACATTTGTGCAACTGACCCTCACTCCTGCAATGCCAATTCACTATATCATGCACAACCATTAATAACTAGTAGGAGTAATTTATCCTTGTTCTTCCTCATTAAAGATGCTTTCAGACAGGTGTTCATCAGCTCTCTGTTGAGCTCTATAATAATAATCAGTAAGCCCATATTTCTGCTTTCTATAAGTTGAATGGAACAGCACAATAACGAAACTAGCCAGAGAAAACCTGACGCTACTTGCATACCCACATTTGCTTACTTATAAGATCATATGTATTCAGGCAAAAGCAATCATCATTTATTTATTAATTATCATATGAGGTGTTTCAATTATGCAATCAAAAAACAGGAAGAACAGCAGCAAATTAAGCTCCCCCAGCAGACACACGAGGAATAACGATCAGTAGAAATGCAGAACCCACAAGCAAATCAGTCTGTGTTTTATTTACATCTGCTATTTGCCGATCATTTCTGCAACACCTGGGAATCCAAAGTCTGTTTGCAAATTGTTCTCTATCAGACAAAATAAAAGTAATAGCATAAATACTGCTTATGCCTGTTTTTATTATGCATTATGAATAAATATTATGCTTTGTAAGAAATAATTTGAAGAATTTCACTTTACAATCAGCACCCGGTGAGACCAACTTCCAATCAGGCAGTCCCTGATGCCATCTACTGGCCCCCTGAAGGATAGTGCAATCGCATGAAGCACGTAAGAGATCCTTTATCACAAACTTGCTCAGTTGTGCCTGAAATTTGTTTTGTGCAAGAGAGAAGAACAAAAAGGCACAGGCAAATGGTAATAAATCTGTAGATAAGGATTGTATAAATGGAAATAAGGACATGTGTTACTAGGGAGAACAAGATTGCAAAAGAGAAGAAGCAACTCAAGAGGTAAAAAGAGGATTTTTTAAAATACTTTTAAAATACTTTTTCCTACATTTTCCCCAATATTTAACTTGTCATTGACATGTCAATGCAAAATTGGCAAAATTCCAGACTGATGTCTTTGCACAGCCACAGTCCTTTGATTTCCTATCCCACCTGTAAGTCCTTCCCAAATTTGCCGAATCCATAACTGCCCACAGAGACCATTAAGTCTTCCCACCAGTGCTGCACATTGCAGACACCTCTGCCCCTGGCAGCTGGACTTAATCAGCTGCCACCTACTTCTTTTCTACAGCTCAATGAACAGAAATGCAATGGTGACAACTAACAGCTGCTACCAAGCTGGGCAAGATCTGTGCTCACAGCCTTCCTGACCTCCTCTCTTGGCAGTGTCCTCCTGTAGTTTCAATTAACGCATTCATCATTTTGGTGCCATTTAGAGGAAAGGAAACAGTGGGGACTCAGCAGTAACCAGCTGCAGTGGGAGGTGGAAGGCAAGGTGAGGAGCCATGTCCTGTTTTGCTCCTTTCTAACTGTAATACCTGACCTTCACTGTGATTCTCACACACCTCATCTCCAAGAAGTACTCAACGCTCTAAATTCACTGGTCTGAATATACATGGCAGAAACCTTTCTACTGCTCTGCTGGGTCATCAAATTTCTTCAGAGCACTCAGCACAAGCTGCACCAAAAGCACACAACTGAGCTGTGGTGATTGACAAAGAGCAGCTCAGAGTCACTTGGTTAGAGGTTTCCCATTTCTGACAATTACTGTGGTGTGTTTTAAGTAAAATTGATTTAAGCTAATAAAAAGAGTAATGGAGGTGCTGTCTTTTATTCACAATGTTTTTCTCTTCTCTGTCTATGTAAGTCACTGTCTGTTCTTATACACCACATAATCAGTGGAAAGGAGCAGCAAGAATTTGGAGATCGCATTACAATTTTCAGCACCCTGCTAGTGCTGCAGTCTCTAGAACATAATCAATGACAATCTCCTAAGGCATATCACCACCTTATGGCACCTTGATTTCTAAAGCTGCAAATTAAAGGTAACCTCCCTTTCTCCTCCCAAAATTTGCAATGCTATATGCAGTTCTGTGCAATGGTGAATACCATTACCATTAACTTGCACATGGAGAAATCCCAGTGATCTGACCTGCTGACACACTTCAGGCCTTTTAGTCTTCACAGTCTTGCATCTCATTTACAAAAGCAGTGCACTCAAAACTAAAGAGAAAACTCCTGTGACTGCAGCACTACAAAGACCACGTAAGTTGTCATTATTCTGCATATTTCACAGAATCATTAGAGTTGGAAAGAACCACTAAGATCATTCGGTCCAACTGTCAACCCATCACCACAATGCTCATTAACCACGTCCCTCAGTGCCGTGTTTTTGAACACCTCCAGGGATTGTGACTCCATCAACTTCCCTGGGCAACCTGTTCCAATACCTCACCACTCTTTCAGAGAATAAATTTTTCCTCATACCCAATCTGAACTTCCTCTGGTGCAACTTAAGCCTATTATCTCTTATCCTGTCACTAGTTACCTAGGAGAAGAGGCCAACCCCCACCTTGCTACATCCTCCTTTCAGAGAATTGTAGAAAGTGGTAAGGTCTCCCCTGCAGCCTTATTTCCTTTGTATATATAGCAGCAGTATATGAGCTAAGGTGAAGAAAGAACCAAAGAAATTGACACCAATTCCAGCACTACCTCACGTTCCCATTTCCTCCATCTCTGAAAAACTTGTCATGCACTTTCTTTTTTTAATGCCACATTTGCAGCCTACTTCTGCCATTTACATGCCCTAAAGCCTCCTGATCCTTAACAAGCTTATCCGCATACCAAAGGTATGATCTTAAGTAATGCCTGTTAATTCCCATTATGTACTCTACAATATATTCCTCATTTAAACAGTGGACAGAAGAAGCTAGTTTGGATGCTGGTGTAATCAGGGCAGCTGTGGGCTTCTCATCACTGCTGGTTAACATGGTGATGTTGCACAGAACCACACCCAAACTGACCTCCTAATAAAAGCATTTAAATAACATTGGAATCACCAAGATACTCTAACAGACCTTGGAGACTTAGAGTGAACAAGGTAGAGACCTTTTTTATTAGAGACATTACTTACAGGAATCCTAGGGTGTGGGGTGAAGAAGGTTGTCTGGAAAAGAAACAAAAGCATTAAAAGAAACACTGTCTATTTTCCTGGAAATGCAAAAACTTTTGTATTCTCCTTGTCATTATAGATAATTCATTCTATGTAACCATTAGAGGGTTTATAAATGAGCAACTCACTGTAACATCTTCAGTATCATTGAACTTTTTAACTCCAAGGCTGAGCTCTCTGTTTTGTACCACTTATAAGATACCCCAGCATAACTGGTTGTCTTACGACACTAGTCATCCTGAAGGAATGGCCAAATATAAAAGGATTGTAATCAATAGAGAGAAGCAGCATCTATTATTGAAATTGATAAAATCTGGGAAAAAAAAAGAAGTCCTTAAAGAAATGAGAATGTGCTGAAATTGTTAGCTATCCTTACAGATGAAATGGAAACTAATTTTCCCTACAAACACTGGAAGGTTGAGCTGTCAGGTATATTTTTTCACACCTATCCTTAGGATATAGTATTTATAAGCTTTATTTTCCAAGCTATCAATCAAGAGAGGTTTATTCTCAGTCACAATCTTCTCACATGATCTTATTAAGTACCCCTGGTCACAGACTAACGAGGCCCAGCTGAACGCAAGGAAGAAATCATAATACCTCCTCCACTGCTGTATGAAACTTTACAGCTGCTGGATTCTCTCCAACAGATTCTGATTAAAATTCTCCTTATGATCTGTGAATGAGGCAGCTGCAACCAGCTGTGGTGAGTAAAGCTGAAAAGTGGGTATTTGACACTTTCCAGAGGATCTGTAACAGGGATTAGCCTTTCTGTTGCAGTGAGAAGCCTGTTCCTAGTGCTTGCTCCGAACTGCTTACTCAGATTTTGCTGGAAATACCCAAATACCTATCAATTTCTGTTAGGAGAGTCTTTCTGGGCTTTCAGCACAGCATGACACTGTGTACAGCAAAGGCTACAGCACTGCTCTTCCAACCCGTAAGTTACTGTCAGCGAGAAGTGAAGCCCACTGCTCTTCTTGGAAGAAGAGGAATTGCTCACCACAAGAGTAAAGCTGTTGTTCATAGATATCTTCTCTTAGTGAACCAGTTTTACCACGAGGTCTCAGGTGGGAAAAGCTAAATCACCTAGAAAATCAGTACAAATATGCTCTTCATCTTCACCCTAATGATATTCATCATCAGTTCCTACAGCTGCTAAACATATCAGAAGTTCAATTTAAGTGCTACCATGAAACAAGTGCACAGAAAAGAGCTATTTTTGAAGAAATAGAAAAGTGTTTAACCTCTAAAAATTGTACAAAAGACCAATGCAACTTCATAGAGCTTCTTTCGAACCAAAAGAGATGGTCTGAGAGTGAGTCCTAATGTTTCAGCAGAGAGGCACAGATCTTGTAAAGCTTTGTTTCTGAGGCACTTATGTGGCAGAAGTATGACGATGCCTAGACTGTTTTTGCAGCACAGCATCTTACTTACTGTTCCAGGTGTGCCTGGTGGGCCAGGGGAACCTGTGTCACCCTAGAGAGAGAAGAATACAATTATGCATATATAAGGTGAGAAAATAACAGTCAACATTTATCATTCAGAAGATACAACATTGTTCAATGAAATGTAATCCTAGGGCAACTGTAGAATTGGCATAGAGCTTAATTTGCATTTTGGCTGAAGCCTGTCAGAGTTCTTGATAGGAAAGCATGTTTTAGCTAAAACTGTTAAAAGGGTAAAAGTAAAGCCACCACCTTTGGGTCTTTCCTAAGTGGCTGTTAGGGCCCACCTCAGTGCCTGTGGACCCAGTCTGGAGGACATAGCCTCCGTTTTCCCCTTTCCATGCACACCACATTTACAAGTCTCCTGAGTGGACTGATATGGACTCACCACTTGCCTGATATGCTGGCCAAGGCCCAAGGTTTCCATCACTTGCCAATTGTGTCCACCTTGGTTTGCTAACAAATGCACATGCACAACCCATGCACACTAGCTTTGAGGAAGATACAGACATGGTCAACCAGTAGCCAGCACCAGTCATATGGGCTGTAACACGTGGTTCTGCTCTACCCAGTGGTGCAAAGCCTCATCCGTACCTCACTCATATCAGTCTCATCCTAGTAGACGGTGGGAGAACACAACATTCCCATACCAGTGGCAGAGAACATCATAGAATTATTAAGGTTGGAAAAGACAGCCATGAAAATTTAGCTCAGCCTAGCCCAACCATCATGTCCATTAAACTATGTCCATAAGTGTCACATCTACAAGTTTCCTGAAAACCCTCAGGGATGGTGACTCAACCACCTCACTGGACAGCCTGGTCCAATACCTTACTACTCTCTGAGAAGATATTTTCCTGATATCCAGCCTGAAAGTAATAGAAGATTTCAGCACCACAGACCGGAGGTGTCCACTTCCCCAGCCTGACTCACATAGCTGGCACCCACTCCCCTCATAGTGATCCACTTCAACCCTTTGGTTCCTCCTATTCCCCCTTTCCTCTGTATGGGTTTGAGACTATACGGGGTTGAACTCTGTAGCTCCCTCCCCACAGCCCTGTTAATCTTCTCAGTTGGAAAGTTCAGTTAATTTTTCTCTAAGTGGCACATGCAGTGTGATAGCCCACCAGTTGGTAAGAATGGGAGATGCTTCTGGTCAAGCTTCAAAATCATCAGTCACATAACCCTGCTGGAACAGACACTGCTACATTTTTATAAGTTCTTCTCCATTAGTGTGACTGAAGTGTCTTGGTTCCCAACCCTGCCTCCCTTATTACCCCTGGTTGCTCTGAAGAAGTTCCTTGACTGGGTACCCTTAAAGGAGCAGACACTCTCCTACAACATACACCTACAAAATCTTCTTTTGCATATTGAAAAAATCCTGTGTTTTTCATCAAAAATATAACTTCCTCATTCCAATTTTCCCCCTAATTTTTGAGTCAAAATCTATAAGGTTGCTGGAGTATCTCTTGAGAATAGTAGTCCAAGTATCTTAGCTGTCACTGGTCTTTCTTCTGGCTCTGCTCCATGGACAGCTTTAGTCCCCCTGACAATTGAAAGCCAACATCTATGAAAAACACTAGTTAACCTCCCAGAGACAGGAACTTCATGCGCTTTATTGGAAATGTCATTTGACCGCCCATAATAGAAGTGCCACTGCCACAGATGGTCAAATTTGCTATTAAATTGAAGGCTGCTGTATCCTAGAAGAAAAATAAGGAGGCACATATTTCCCCACAGCTGAGATAACTATGCCAAGTCATAGTTATCTGCAGGGTCAATGCTTCAGTTTCACTTTAGCAAAGATTTGGTAAACATCGTCTCTTTCTAGTCCTCCTATTTTAACTATAGCAATGTTATGATGACAGAAGCATAGACCATTCCTTATTGTCCTATCACACTGTTGGCAGGCACAGAAATGTTCTTTGATTTCAGGCTTGTTTCTATCAGCCACTGCTAGAACAAAGAAAAATCTTCTCTCGATTAAAGAAATTGATCTTAGATTCCATCAGCAGCTTACTATTTCTTGTGTTATTCAATACATGGTTGTATCTCTCACACACACAGTTTCTTCTGCCTCATCTTTGTAAGGATTATCTCAGAGACTCCAAAACTGTTAATCCACACAAGATTATCTTCTCTATCTCTTGTCTCTAAGCCCTTTTCTCTTTTCTTATGTAATGGCAGGTATTAACAGGACAAGGGGAAATAGTTTTAAGCTGGAAGAGGGTAGAATTAGACTAGATACCAGGAAGAAATTCTTTACTGTGAGGGTGGTGAGACACTGGAACAGGTTGCCCAGTGAGGTTGTGAATGTGCCCTCCTTGGAAGCATTCAAGGCCAGGCTGGATGGGGCTTTGAGCAACCTGGTCTAGAGGGAGGTGTCCCTGCTTATAGCAGGGGGTTGGAACTAGATAATTCTTAAAGGTCCCATCCAACCGAAACCATTCTGTGATTCTGTGATTCTATAAAGAGGAGCATGCTTATTTAATGACTCACCTTTTCTCCCCTTTCCCCTTTCAGTCCTGGGAGACCATCTTTTCCCTTTCCTCCCTAAAAACAGGAAAAGGAAAGTAGTAAGTATGCACAATTTGATTTGATTTAATCAGTTTCATTTAACACTTGCAGTTGACCTTATCTGTCCTTCAGGATGAAGTGTAAGCAATTAAAAGGGTAAATAATATATTTGAAATGGCTTCACAAAATTCCCAGTCTTTTCAAAAGCCAAATAATAGTAACCAATTTCATGGAAAGGAAAGCACCAATCTTGAATCAATTTGCACATACGTCTTGTTGACTGATGCAGTAACAAAGCTTAGAATGTTCCAGCTGAACAAGAGAAGCAGAACACACTTAAGACTTATAGGGGACACTCATTCTACCAATTTGTTTATGCTGAAAGATTTCTGAGTCATCCACTCACTAGTGCCTACCTTTTTAATCACCTAGGAAACCTGGTGGCCTGAATAGGAGATGCTTAATAAGGATGATCTGAATATTCCTTGAAGTGCAGACACAAATGTATATATTCAGTATTAAAATAGGAGATAGCTGACCTACATTTATATGATTTCATACATAGAGAGAATATATTATCTCTCTCTATATATATATCCTACACTTTGATGTAAATGTAATACAGCAAATCAAACAGGAAAACTTCAGTTGATTGTAAATCTTTCTTGCTCACATTCAAGCACATAGTTAGCTATCAGAACTAATGGCCTCTCTGACCACAGCCAAATTTACTGCCATGTCCAACTATTTTCCAGTGTGTAGGTGCCTGTGAAGGTCTGCAGCTGGCCAGGACCTGGGTGGAAATTAAGCCATTAGATAAAAATTCAACCATCTGTAATGTTCTCCAGCACTTGTCGCTTAGTGACAAGAGAAATTTGGGATTTTAGTAGTTTTTATTTTTTTAATGTTCTTTAGTCATGTAGATACATTTGAGAGTGAGGCTTAAAGGGTCCTGTGCTTCTTCTACTGCCTAACTAGGAGTATGACTCCAGTCAAAATCTTCTGTGTTCAAGATAGACATAGTTTATTAACATCTCCGCTGCAGTTAGCTATGGTCACGAGGCAATGAAGTACCTCTTGGAAGGGCTACTTGGTGGTCTTCCTAGATGTCAATCAATTGTTCATCACAACAAGATCACCAAGAGAAAATAGCATCTATGGACACTTGAGATAAGTCCTCCTGGCACCAAATGGACAAATAAAATCAAGTTATGGCTTGAAGATTCACCTGGTCTCCTTTTTCTCCTCTCAGTCCAGGTAAACCTTGAAGACCAGGAAGACCCGCTTCACCCTGAAAGTGAGAGAAAATTATGTGTGAAATCCAGGAACTTTCATCAAGCGTGGCTTCTATTAAAGAACTTCATTAGTTTCAAATGCAATTAAGAATGAAAGAGAAGACTGGTGGGTCAACTCTTCACTCATTCATGTCAGATTAAAAGCACATCAAGTCTGACTCGCAGGGTAGATTAATCTAGCCAGTGTCCTTATGCTAGGAAGGATGAATCCTTGATTGAGCTGTCTAATGGCTGATACTAGATGGTGAATTGTTAAGCATTCATAATGTCTGCAGATGTTTTCTTCCTGATACCTAGTTACACCATGATATATGTAGGCTATACTGTAGGCCAGAACCTGCCCTATTTTTCGCGTGTGATTGATTCTACATGCAGCTTGCTGAGAGAGAGAACAAGATCTTGTTTAATTATCAGATAATTTCTTTTTCTAGGGAAATCATTACTTAAAACAGCAGCTAAAACCTCTTTTCTTTACTTTTCTTTACTTTTTTTTTTCTTTTCTTTTTGTATTGGTAAGTGATATCATAAAATTTAGGACATATTTTCTTTGTACTGTTCCATAATAGCACCAAGCAAGCAAACAAAAAAGAGCACCTAGAAAAATAAATGTTATTTTCATCATTGAGGATCTGGTATACTCTAGCAATGCAAACACAATACTATTAATCTGAATAGAAAAGATGTTACCTGATAAGCAAGTCTAGAATTTTCTCAATACATCTCATGTTTCCATTTGTTTCTGTTTCACACTCACTTTTCAATTTATGCTCTCTGGAGTAATTGTAATCTCTGTGTTACGTGGTTTGTTATAAATATAACTAAAATTCTCAAATTTAGCTCCAGACTGAACCAGATTGTCACCTGAAAATAGTCACATGGTGCATCATATATCGTTACCCTGCTACCCACATTTGCAGTGCAATATCTCAAATGATCTCAGTCATGGACAGAACCCAACTGCAATATGTGGTGTATGAATATGAACTAAGAATTGCTAATCCCGAATTTAAAAAGATTAACCCTTTATGGCAAGAGTCTAAGCATTATTATGGTGTAGATGCAATGAATGCAGAGAAATCAGGTCAGGAAAAAGATATTTTGATAACCAAGAATAGCTGGAAACATCAGGATGATGTTTAATGAAGTTTGAAAGATGGTGCTGTTTGGCGACAAGACAGAGTGATGATTTTGAGAGCCAGTGCAGTATCCTCAGTGATGATGAGATCCCAGAGATTGTAAGAGAGATGAACATAGGGCATAGAGCTAAAGAGGGAAAAAAGAAGGATTTGGAGGGGTGATTTACTCGGCACCTGGCATGATGGCTGCAGATGGAAGTAGCCTGTCTCCAAGGGGGAAGAAGATCTTAGACAAGGATCTTAGCCGAGAAACTGGTGGGACTCACTGGAAGGTTTTAAACTATGTATGAAGGGGGAAGGGAACACAATGAGGGCCGCTGGGGTTGAGAAGGTTTTTTGAGGGCTTGCACCAAAATTAATGGGCAAAGACAGCGGAGTACACAGGGATGGACTAGGGCACGGAGATGCTGGGGATGCTGCCGTTCTAGGGAATCCTAGATCCTATATAAAGGCGGTGAGATGGAAAGCCCAGCTGAAGTGCCTTTATACCAATGCACACAGCCTGGGAAATAAGCAGGATGAGTTGGTGACGAGTGGTGTCCCCCAGGGCTCAGTACTGGGATTGACACTCTTTAATGACATTGACAGTAGGGTTGAGTGCACCCTCAGCAAGTTTGCTGATGACACCAAGCTGTGGGGTGCAGGTGATACACCAGAGGCACAGGATGTCATCCAAAGGGACCTAGACAGACTTGAACAGTGAGCCCAGGTGAACCTCATGAAATTCAACAAATCCAAGTGCAAGATGTTGCACGTAGGTTGAGGCAACCCTCATAACCAATAAAAGCTGGAGGATGAAAGGATTGGGTGCAGTCCTGCTGAAAAAGTCCTGGGGATACTGGTGGATGCAGAGCTGGATATGAGCAAGCAATGTGCCCTTGCAGCCTAGAAGGCCAACTGTGTCCTGGGCTTTATCAAAAGAAACATGGCCAGCAGGTTGAGGGATATGATCCTGCCCCTCTACTCTGCGCTGGTGAGACCTCACCTGCATCCTAATGTGGAGTCCTCAATACAGGAGTGACGTGGACCTGTTGGATGTGTTCAGATGAAGGCCACAAGAATTATCCAAGGGATGGAACACCTCTCCTACGAGGACAGGCTGAGAGAGCTGTGGCTGTTCAGCCTGGAAAAGAGGTGACCTGATAGCAGCCTTTCAGTATCTAAAGAGGAGCTACAGGAAAGAAGGGGACAGACTCTTTATCAAAGTCTGTGGTAATAGAACAAAGGGAAATGTCTTCAAGTGTAAAGAGGGTACATTTAGATTGGATATAAGGAAAAAGTCTTTTACAGTGAGGTTGGTGAGGCACTGGCACAGGTTGCCAAAAGATATCGCTGATGCCCCATCCCTGGAGACCTTCAAGGAAAGCTTGATAAGGCCCTGGGCAACCCGATCTAGCTGTGCATGTCCATGTTCATTGCAGGGGGGTTGGACTACATGGCCTTTAAAGGCCCCTTCCAACTCTAAGGATTCTATGATTCTATGAGCTCAAAGACAGGAAGGAAAGATACAGCTGCCAATACGGATCTGTTAAAAACTCATCACATCAAATCCACCCAATTTCTTCCCTTGATGGGATAACTAAGCAGACAAGAAGACTAAACAGACATCACATTTTTGTGATGTATCTTGACATTAGTAAGATGTCTGACACAAGACAACATGATGCGCTCATTAGCAAAGTACAGAAACACAGTGTACAAGACGGCTCTCTGGAGGGTGGTGCAGAACTGATTAAAAACAAAAAACCACAAAAACCTACATTCACACATCTAGCCGTTACCTTTCAGATTCAGAAAGAGATGAAGCCTTGTAATGGTCTATACTTACTATTCAATATTTTAATTTATAAGTGAGATGGCAGAAAAGAGAACACTGATATAATGTGTGGAGAATACCACCCTATAGAGAGAGAGGTGTTTTAGAAAGTGGGATAAAATTCTAAAAAGCTCTATTCAATATGGAAAAATTATGAGCAGTTCCTAAAATTGTTTTGGCAAGGAGAAACTAGCAAAATTCATAGAAGTCTTCTGTGTGAAACTTCTTTTTCTTCCTGTGCTCCTACTCCAGCTGGTGGCATAGATAGTGTGTGTTCAGTTTCATTACAAACAACAACATTGGAGCACGGGACCATTCTTTTCCTTCATCTTTATAGAAGTCTGGATTTAGAATGGTAGAAGTGAGAGATGACTGAGGCTCTGAGACTCTTCCATTGCTGACTTAAACTCTGCAACCCAGTATCCAAAGACGTATGCCAAAGATATAAGACTATCTTACATAGATATCTCTTTCTACAGATTTTATTACTGAGTTGAAAAGTTGGTGTGCGGACGACAACATGAAAATAGCTGGTTGGTGCTCCACACTGGACTCCAGACAGCTGTGTGCTTTAGGAAATCCCAGGATGTTTTCCTGCTTCCTTGCTGTTATTTGCTGAAACTTAAATCTTACTACATAATTATTAAGATGACTGTAATTTCTGAAGTTATGTAGGTTTATTTCCTAGCATGCATTTATGATCCAGAAATGACTGCATCGCCCTTTGCATCACATAAAAAAGTTCATCATCATCCAGAACCACCACCAGCACACTGGTTTAGTGTGAAGTGAAGGAAAAACAATCACTTTTATGCAACTCTGCCTTCCTTTTCTTCCTTATCTATCAGAAACAAGATGACTGAATTTTCTGAGATATAAACAAAATATTTGCATATTTGATCTGGAACCTTACTTTGTGCAACCATGAGCTTTATCTGCTGACTTGCACTTTCCTTGGCAAAGGAAGTTATTGGCAAATGGCTTTGTTACTGCACGGGATCACTCTGCATTGACAGGCAGATGTTGTTGCTAGCACCATTTTTTCTGCTCACCTGTTCACCAGGTTGGCCACGGCTTCCTGGTTCACCCTAGAAAAGCAAAAGCACAAAGTTAGCACTGCAAGGACCCAACTTTTTTTGCAAGAATGCTTCCTCTTTAGTAAATTGTGTCTTCTACTGTCCTAGCTCATGTTATTCTACCCATTTTCTGTAAGGCACTGAAATTGTCTTCTTTGATGGCTTGGGACCCATGGCCACAGAGACCCAATGCAAGGTCCAGGTCACATCTTCCTATATATATAGACAAGAGAAAGGAGCATCAAACAGGGTTTTGTATCTTGGAATGCAATGAACAGTGAAGGCACTGAGTCACATCTGCCCATCCTCTTATATTTCCAGCCTTAGAGGATCCTTACACTCCTGACTTCAGTACAAGGACTTCTAAAATCACACCTTGAATGATTCAGTGGCTGCAGCAAACTTAGAAACAAAATTCTTTACCTTAGGGCCAGCTTTTCCAGGAAAGCCTTCCTCACCCTTTTCTCCTTGTTCTCCCTGCAGGGAACATGAGAAATTAATATATACCTTGCAGTGAAACAATGATGAGGAATATTTTGACTCAGATCCCCAGCATCAGACTGAGGATGTAAATGGAGTCACATGAGAGTATCTTTCCTGTAAAGTTTTAACCACTTCAGTACTATTTGTGGACACATCTCCAACAATAATCACCCAACTAGAATGTCTCTGGAATAACACAAAGTTAACCACTGTTACTTTAAAGATATCCATACCAAATTACCTGAAAAACAAAATATCTATTCAGTTTCTTCAAACTGTATGTGGTGAGAAGGTCTACATTTTCCATTAAGAATAGAAATAGATAACTGTGGAATTGGAGCTTTGGCCATTGGGACTTTTTGAATCTGATCTGTCATTGTGGGTAGCATCAGGACAGAGAGCAGAAACTGATGGATTAAGAACAGAAATATGCTGTGTGTATATTTCAGACTGCACTCAGAAGTGCAGTCAATACTTCACAGAGATCGGTAATTTGTTATATTATCCAAATTCCTCACTTCATCAGTACACTCAGGCTGAGGAATTGGGTTTCAAGTATAAATATGGTGGGTTCCTGGAAAAATTAGGAGCAATGATAGCCAAGCACCAGAGCTGAGAAGATCATTGCTGATGCAGTGCTGCTGCCTTGGACTTGAGGCAGGTTATAGTTAAGTACATATTCCAATCTAGTGCAATTGTTTGGAGCTGTTAGAGTGGGTCCAGAGGAGGGCCACAAAGATGATCAGAGGGCTGGAGCACCTCTCCTACGAAGAAAGGCTGAGGCAGGTAAGGCTCGGGCAACACCACACTGCAGCCTTCTTGTACTTAAAGGGAAATTATAATCAGGTTAGATTAGATGTTAGGGTGGAAATTTTAACTCAGACAGTGATGACACTGGCCCAGACTGGCCAACAAGGCTGCAGATGCCCCACCCCTTGCTGTGTTCAAGGGCAGGTTGGATGGGTCCCTGCACAACCTCATCTGATGAGCGGCAGCTCGACCCACAGCTGGGGGTTGGAACTGGATGAGCTTCAAGGTCCCTTCCAACCCAAGCCATTCTTGATTCTATGATTTCCTAGATTGACTTTTATAGATAAAATATAGTTCATTCCTTTGTCACTTATTTGCGTGACTATAGGAACTCAGCAAGAGTTTCTCCTGCTCAAAATCTCCATTTTCCAACTGCAGAGACAACAGATCAGCAGAATAAATTGACTTTCCTAAATCTGTCATTCATATGAACTTACAAACAGGGCACAAGAGGTAGGAGGGAACCAAGAGCCTCCTCTCTTCCACAGAGCCCCACAGAAGACCTAGTGGTCTATTTTCTTTCCAGCTCTTCAAAGAGGAAAAACAAATGTATTTGGGGCCTGATACACTCCATTGTTCTTTGTGCCTTGGACATGTGCCCTGACTTGCCAGCCTCCTTGGCTTCCCACTGTGACAACAGAAGCTTCTCTGTCTGCTATACTCAGCTGTGTCTGCTGAATAAAACACAGTAGCTGAAGACTGGAAGAGGTCTCTGCTGTATTTTAATCCAGCTCAGTCTTCACAGGGACTCAGTACAGAACAATTACATCAGCTGGCTTGACCCTGGAGCTCAGGGCTGGAAAAAGGTGAGGTACATCTGACCCTGGAGATCTGCTTCCCTTTCAGCTTACACTTTCTAGCTCGCCCAGAAAAGCTGCCTGGGCAATCTGGTTGTGCTGGTGTATGTGGTGACACTTACCTTTTGACCTGGAAGCCCAGGTAGACCATTTAATCCATCTTTGCCAGGTGAGCCCTAAACAAGAGAGAAAATTATCAGCTCTTAGAGCCTGCTCCTTAAATTCCTAACAGCAAGATCAGGAAAAAAATGCTGAGTTCATCCCTCTTGCCACTAACCTAAGTTTAAGATTTGCTAAAATACCTCATGTACCTTCTGCTTTTTTCACTACTGTAACTCTAATTACCCACAGTTTCTGGCAATGCATGTATCTGCTTGGCTGTATTCAGTATGACAATTTTAGTGACTGACCACATGATGTCAGTGTTGTTACAGACAAACAACAAAGTAGAAGTTTTTTATGAAGAGTGGAGTCTTAACTTCAGAAATAGCGTTCTCTGTAAATCTCTATTACCTGTAGCTGTAACTTTTTAAAAACAACTTTCACTTTTTAAATATCAGTAATTTCTTATATATATATATGTATATATATACATATACAGGCTGGCATTACACAGCATAGAGAGATAGAAAGATTCAGCAAAATAAGAATTAAAATGACTTCTTGCAATACATTAAAATGGTGAGAAAAAGTTTTGTCCTCTTTTCAGGCATCAGTTAGTCTCTAAACACTGCAGGCATAAAGTGGCACTTCTCAATACTAAATATTTCATAATGCACCTTTCCCTTTCTTGACTTAAGAGCCAATAGAAATTGCAATGCTCTCCTACAATTACAATTATAAGTATTATAATTGTAATTTTAAGGCCTGATTTAAGAAATTTCAGTTTGGATGAGTCATATTTTACCAAATGCAAAACAAGTTTTGAAAGGTACTGTATAAATCATCATAGTCCCAGTGTGCAGGAATAGTACAGCTACCTCTGGTATGCCAAAAGGCATCAGTCTAATGCCTATACTAAAGGAAACAGTATTGGAGCCAGTACTAAAACTACGTGTGCAGACAAGCTGCAGGAAAAGAAGTAAAGAGTTTAGGAGTAAAACATGTAAGGTCACAGAGAGAAGGGAGGCAATGCAAGCTGTCTCTCAAAACTTACAGCTGGTCCTGGCAGTCCACTTTTACCAGCAACACCAATTTCTCCTGGCAGTCCCTGAAAAAAGAATCCAACAGATACAAAAAAGCATTAATATTTCTGCCCTTTACAGGCTGCTTTCAATTCAAATACAATTTTCACTCCCAAAGTAGTCAGGTCTCTGCCATGAGGCATCCTGCAGGTATTGACTCATTTGCTGGTAGAGCTAACATGGTTCCAGTACCCGGTGCAGTTGTCCTGCAGGGCCAGATGGGGCTTTTCATGGTGAAAATACAACAGAAAGCATACATTGCCAGAGGCACTGACTCAGTTCCCACTGAAATTCAAAGTCTAAATCTAACAATCTCCTGAAGTGTTTATGTATTTATTTATTTATTTTTATTTTATTTTATCTCTTTGATGTAAAGTAAACAACAACAAAACCAAGCCTGTTTCCTTACTGGTGCTCCAGGTGGTCCAGGGGGTCCAGCAATGCCTGGGGGCCCTGGAGGTCCCTGTAAGAGTAGCAAAAAACAGTTCATTAATAACCATGATAGTGGTAGAAAGCCTCAGGCCATTCCTGTGCGCATCTGGGGCTCTGTTGCAAACAGCGTCAGCTTCATTTTATTAACTTCTCTCCTCCTAAACCTGCAAGATGCCAAACGGAGCTCCCAGGGAACCATGCTCAAGAGCAGAACAGGATCTCCTGCTTAAACCAGTAGTTACTGTTGCTACAAGTTGAGCTCCATCCTGGGCTACACTACAAGAGATGGAAGCCATTCAAGCCAGAGCATCCAGCCTACTTTAATCTTAATTAATGGTACAGAGGATATAGTAGATCAGGTATTTTAAAAGAAATACCCCACTATTTTAGTGCTCTGTCTTAACTCTGTTGAGAGTGAAATGTCCTCACAAACTCATACTTCAATGTATACATTCAGCTTCTAATACTCTACAAGTCTTACTCAAGCCCTTGCAACAACTATTTCTCTTGGGAAAATATCATCTGAATAGATATCCAGTTTTCAGAGGGATTTATTTCTATGCTTTGGTAAATTGTTAAAAGTGAGTTCCTGGCTGAAGAGATTTTTTTCCATACTTGATACATCGCTGCTTGAGATATAGAGGTATTTGTTACCTTCAGTTTTGCTGACAAGAAAGATTTTCTCCTTTACTTAAAATGAATCATTTGTTCATGTGTTTTTTTGAATCAGGACCTAAACATATAGCATAAGGATAAAAGAGAAATGGATACACAACTGAATTGAAACTTTAACCTCATCTGTCTCCTTCAGACTTTCTAATACCATGGTTTAAGTTATTTTCAGTTTCCAGAATAGAAGGAGTTCTGATGTTTGCACTCCAAAAACACAGAAACAAACAAACAAACAAACAAATAAAAAGAACAATAAATCCAAAACCAACCAAAGAAAAACATATCAGGAGGACATTTTTCACTCAGAGGGCAGTGAGACCCTGGCACAGGCTACCCAGAGAAGCTGTGGATGATGCCCCATCCCTGGAGGTGTTCAAGGCCAGGTTGGATGGGGTCCTGGGCAGCCTGAAATGGTGGTAGGCAACCCTGTGCAAGGCAAGTAAGTTGGAACTGGACTATTTTTAAGGTCCTTTTTAACCTAAGCCATTCTGTGATTCTATTACATACACCAACCTATGCAAAAAATTGAAAGTGAGCAATCAGTACAAGATAGAAAATGGTCAGTCAGCTTCTTTGCTAGAGCTAAGTTACAATCCAATAACAAAAATTACATCTTTCTGTGGTTATCAGTTACGGACCAATATAAACATTTAACATTTAAGAAAAAATGTAGCTGGAGAATAAAGAGGCGTAAACAAGAATGAACAAGAAAATTTTGGTGTCAAAATTTGATAGAGGAGATCGTGAATAAGCTGTCATTTTAAAATACGCTTGTAAAAATCAGCCAGAACAAGTAGTACCATCTCACCAATAGATGGTGCAAAACAACTAAAAAGTGAACTAGCAGATGCACTTGGCTTATATATCACCCATAATCCGCTTCCATTGCAACCCAGTCCAGAACAGACATAGAATCATTCCACAAATAATGTTAGTATTTGTAGAGCATCTCAAGTGCAAGCACAGTTCAAACATCTGCAGGAAGATATGCCTTGGTATCTACTGACACTGCTGACATAACTTCTGGGGAACCTAGTTTCTGGGTTAGAGGAGGAGGTTTCAGATGCCATTCCAATCCTATCAGAGGCAACTGGATGACCCCATTCATCATTTAGAAGAGGCTTCCCCATTCAAAACAAGAATCACCATCCAGTACAAGAAAAAATGTCACACTGCGCATACAGTCAGAGGGCAGCTGGATGGAGTGGCCTCAGATGTTAGGGCCTACTTGGCCTCACTCTAACCCTACAAGGGTGGTAGATATAGTTGGTATGGGAACCAAGAAAGGGTTGCAATGAAGAGTGGGTGCAGCACTAGGAAAGAATTCAAAGATAGCTTTAGATAAACAACATGTATGTTGTAAGTAAAGGAAAGATAAAGTGCAAAATATTTAATAGTAATTCTTTTGACTTCTTTGTGAGCTTTATGAATTAATAGCTTTCTCATTCGTGCAACAGTGGAATCTAACCAGAAATTAACCAGCCACTGTCATCCCACAGTAAACTTCAGCTAGGACCCAGTTTCAGCCTAAGCATCCCCCAGGTAGGATAACCATCCTACAAGGTAAATCTACTCCAAAAGAGAAATCTTGCACAAGTATCTATCAACCAGCGTAACCTTCTACACCAAGGGACTAGAACACGAGGAAATGAAAAATCACTGTCATGAAAAAGCTGCAGGAATACATTCTATCACATAATATCCTTTTCAAAGCTCTCCTTTTTGCCACACTTGTTCAGAGCAAGATTTGTATGCAAAACCCTTTCTGTCCTCCTTCTGACTTCTGAGTATACTTCAGAGCAAGAACTACTCTCCCAAGTATTTGAGAGGTTCAAACTAACTGACAGTGTTTATTTGTTATAAAGAAAAAAAAAATAACAGCAAAAAAACAAACAACACAACCAAACAGCAGTAGGATAGTCTGTAATGTTTAACCCCCAAATCTCACACCATCTGTAGTCTTTCTTTTTGACACTGAATCCAGATAAAAGCACCTGATTCTGTCACATTTTTCACTGATCATTTGATGAATTACACTGATCCAATCTCCAGAGTTGTCCTTCTAAAACTCCAACTCAGAAGAAAAGAAGTCATAGAGGGCTTTGTTTGTGGCTTGTAAGAGCTCTGATGTGTGTGCATCCTACACACTGGAACAAAACCTGGTACATAAAACCTTTGATCTCTAAAACAGGACTGCACAAACTCAGTTTGGAAGACAAAGCACAGATCTTCTGTCAACATGTTTAAGTGAAGCTATTTTCAAATAAATATTTCAAACTTCTTTAAAATCCAGATATCCATGGGAAAGTGTGTAGAGGTATGTGTTCAGGGAAAGACACCTAACAGAAATTTAGGATTATATTTCATCCAGCTTCATTCCTAAGAGAAAGCAACACAGTTCTCAGGAAAGAAATCTGACACAGTACAGAAGGAGCAGCTGTGTCAGTCCTCCAGGAACCACTAGAAGATACTCTCTTCTTCCAGCATGTACCATGCAGAAAGACAGGCTGGGAAAGGCAGGACTGTTAGGATGTGGGCTCTGTACTCCCAAAGGAACTTCTGTAAATGAACAAAAACCTTTTCGTGTGAATACATCAGTAGGTTGTGTGGCTCAAATCTATTTTCCATAAGAAAAGGGATGGCTATGTTTTAAAAGGTGAACAAATGTCATTACAGGATGGAAACAGGAGTCTGATGGCTTTTCCAGATATCTGTCTCTGGAGGAAAAGCTTGTAGAGACGTATTTTCTGTATACTATTTCATGCCAGTGCCTGGATCCTCTTGCATTGTGAAAAAGGCTTAGATAAGCCTTAAATCCATGAAAAAACAGACTGTGGTCTGGGTTTTATAGGCAGCATGCCAGCTTTATGAATGAGAAAAATCTCCAGGACATCTAGAAGCATCTTGTCTCCTGCCACAGCTGCTAGCTTTGAGGAACAGTCCACGTGACTCACTATGTCCCCTGCTACCCGAACTCTCCATTTTTCCTCTACTAAACCTAAGTAGTCTCTGCAATCAGATCCTCAAATCTGTTCTTCATTTATCGCTCCTGGCACTACCTATGTATACCAGCACAGCTCCTGTGAGTTATCTTCAGAAGTACTACAACAGAGCACCATATTGCTCTCCTTCCTTACAAACCAAGACAAAGATGAGAGGATATAGGAAACCAGTGTTGTTGATAATGCTGAAAACCAATAAGCCTGAGCAGCCAACAGATCTGCTTATGATGCATGATATATAGAAAACTTCAGTGCTAGTATCATAATTTATAAATGAATGAGGTCTTCAGTTGTGTCACCAGGAGACATGATATGTGGAATATTAGCATTATTTTAAAAAATAAAGTGCACTGAACACTGCGCAATTCTGTGAATTGTCTTTCCAGCACTATAAGAGTACTGAATAAAGTTGGCTCTGTACACAGCAGTCTCTGTAGGAGAATTCCTGCTTTCAGAGCAAGACAGTATTTATTTAATTGCACCATTTATTGTAAGATATGGACATCATGTCTTTCGTCTACAGATTAAGATTTATTGCCATATTTGTTTACTTTCAGTTCTTTCACTGAGACAGGGTGGCAAATGAGAAAACAATAAAAAAAATTCCCTTATGGTCTTTTGTTTCAGAACTATTAGTGGCCTGCATCGGCAAAGTCTATTTTCTCTCTTTGTTTTGTAAAAGGCACATATCTTGTTAAAGATAGCTCTGAGCAGTATCTTCTACAATTTCGAGCAGCACTGACAAAGTCTGAATTCAATCTAAGCTTTGCAGCTGAGGCCAGTATTTTTTTCTTATGTTTCACAGTATTAGCTTGCATTATAAAAAGAGACATTCGGAGCACCATGCATTTCAAAGGATATAATTTATTTCCTCTGTTTTACTTAAGAAAAGCTGGGCTGAGCTCACACCCTAAAGATGAGCCTATACTAATTAATTCACTGCCAGCCACAACCAAAAAATCATAGAATCATAGAATCACAGAATGACCTGGTTTGAAAAGGAACACAATGATCATCTGGCTTCAATCTCCCTGCTATGTGCAGCATTGCCAACCAGCAGACCAGGCCGCCCAGAGCCACATCCAGCCTGGCCTTGAATGCCTTCAGGGATGGGGCATCCACAGCCTCCTTGGGCAACCTGTTCCAGTGCATTTCCACTCTCCATGAGAAAAAAAAACTTGTGCTGGTTTCCCTCACAGGTCTTAGGTCTATCACCAGGTTATCTATCATAAAGCAAACCTCAGTAATGGCCCAGATATGTTGCAATTGTGAGGTATATAATTTTTACTTAAATTTCCAATAGTTTTAAGTCATTTTGTTTTCCCACTAGTGGACAGCATGCACCTGCTCGGCTCATGGAGGCCTAGTGGAACCTGATTTAGAAAAGTTGAATGACTCTGCCAACAGTCTATTAATACACCTGAATCTTAGTCAATTGTAATAGGAGACTGGGTGTATGCACCTCCACCATCAATTACTTCCTGTCAAGAAATGTGTAGATTTGTTGCTTGGGGACACGGTTTAGAGAGCAATTCTGGGGGTAAGTGAGCAGTTGGACTAGATGATCTTAAAGGTCTTTTCCAACCATGATTCTATGATTTTACAATTCAGTGAAGCCCTGCCATAGTAATTCAGTGTCTAAGCCCTCAGTGAGTACTGAGGTATCAACCCCCTTCTTTATTGAGCCAGCAAATGCAGCCCTCATGGCACACCTATACATAGCACATACTGCCTAAATCTTCTGTCTCCACAGGACACCCATCATGCCTAGAAAAGCAGCTGCCTTCAGCCTCTGCTCTGAAATCTTCCTCTCAACAGACAATGGGATAAATGAGGTACATCAAGATCTCAGGTGGCCACACAGAAAAACATAGCCTCAGTGTTGTACATGCGTAGTACTCTTCTATCTATTTCAATTGAAAGTACTTTACAGAAGTGTTCATTTTTTAGTCTGCATTTGAACAGCCTACCGTAATAGAAGTTTGACCCATGATTAAGTTTCCTACAAACAAAAATAGTGCAAATAAATAATAACAACACAATTATGTGATGTGCTCAGATGTTTGTGCCCTTACTGCAGGAAAATCATTCATATATAGAGAGGAAAATAAGACCCAAAGTGTCTACTTCAAGGCTTAATGATGCTGCAAGATGCACTGTTTCTGAAGGTCAGCAGAAAATAAATGTTCATTTCTGGGGGTGCTAATATGGGCAATATGGAACAAACAAAATCATGGACAGGCCCACCACCACAGCAGATCAACAAGGAAAAAAAAAATCATAAAAATCTTAAAATTTAGTTTGAGTAGAGCATGTAAGGAAGGAAAAAGGCAAAACTAAGGCTACGCAATTGTCACAGCACATACCCAGACTAGATAAGAGGTTGCTTTCTAACTGCTGCTTCAGGATTTGCTACTTAACTCTACAATACAAAGACACCCAGTCCTTAAGAGTCAGACTGGCATCACTTCTGCAGTGGGTTGTCACTGTATCTGCTGGCCCTGATGCAGAGTATCCTAAGGCTGGCTGCCCTGCAGTGCTGTCTGTGCCTTCTATGGCTTCTTGCTGGGACTGGAATGATGGGAATTATTTATCCTGACAAAACCCAGTAGTAACTGCAAACATTAGGAAAAACTTCTCCAAAGGAGTGTTTAGGCACTGGAACAGGACGACAATGGAGGTGGTAGAGTCATCGTCCCTGGAAGTGTTCAAGAAATGTTTAGTTGTTGTACTGAGGGATGTGGTTTAGTGGGAAATCTTGGTGATCGGTAGACAGTTGGACTGGATGACCTTAGAGGTTTTTTCCAACCTTGGTGGTTGTATGATGATGATTCTATCACTATGCTTGACTAGACCCCTGTATAGGAAGAAGGATTTTCTACCACATGTCAGTAGAAAATGCTGGCTCTGGAGGTGCTGAGAAATCAGCATCTGTCTCACAGTAATGAAGTGGCTCGCCCACCCTTCCCTGAGACTTCAATGGATATTTAGAATAGGGTTCAGGATTAACTGGCATCTTTTTGTGGCTCTTTTCTGTGCTTTTCAGTAACATGGCTTCTAAAGCTCCTATCTCCATTCCATTCTTCTGCCAATTGAGCTTTCAGTGGGAGCAGAATGGTCAAAACAAAAACAAAAACAAAAACAAAAACAAAATTATATTTAAATTTAAAATAGCAGAAGAAAATGAGGTTATTATAGTGTCTTAACCAAGTTTATGTATGGGTAAATCAAGTTTGGTGGCCCTCAACACCATGGAGACAGCATAGGAAGAGGTGACACAAGACATCCATAAATCATTTTTAAGAATATATGTGTAACTGCAATCTAAGGAAACCTGGTTATTCTTGGAACATAGTATGATGTTAAGATACAATAAAAGAAAGAGAGAAATGCTGATAAAGTGCTTACAAACTTCATGTCACAAAAAATGCTAGTAAGCTGAATAGTAGTTTTGTCACAAGTTAAACGTAAGCACTTTCTCCAAACAAAAATATGGAAGACTGCAGTAATACATCCAGGACAATGTGCCACTTCAGGAAAAGGAGAAAATTCTTCCATTTTTACAGTTAGCTGGGAGGAAGAGTCAGTTTACGTATCCCTTGATGGGGCTAGCACTCTATGCAGTTTTAATTAACTTCAAATTTGAAAACTTTATTTAGCCTATGCTGAAAGGAAAGCTGCTTAATGTTGTGTCAGCAATTCTTCCATACAAGTTTCTGAAGTTGCTAACACATGCATATATAAACTTTGTAAAGTTACAGAGAACTTGAGCTGAGCAAGATGTTGTTTAAATGGATAGTCAGGTATATCAGAATTAATGAAGGGAGACAAATCTTTCCCAAAAGTAAGGAAAATCTTCTCCCATTTGCTACACACACAGTTCAGATGGCTTCAGGGGATCTTTTAATGTTATCCTGCAGGGGAAATAAAAATAAGAAATGAATCCATTGGAAATACTGTCTTCATTCTTCTTGGAGGCTGCTGCTGAAATACTTGCAAACCAAATGCAGTACCAAAGGAAGAAGTCTTAAAAGTATGTAGACCATTATCAAGCAGTGTGGCAGGGCAAGGTTTCCAGCTGGATACAAGGATCCTCACCCTCACAGGATCAGAAAGCCCCAGATTGTATTGCTGGTAGCCTCAGCAAACATGGCTCATTACAAAATGTCTGCTACAGAATTCATGTCTAGATTACATTCATGGTTACAAGGGCATAGCTTGGCAGAGGAAATAAATTAGTACCTGCTATTGACTAGAGTGCCATTTATTGCAATATCCTACCAACAGCTGTAGCAGCAGAGAAGGTTTTTTATTTTTGCTCCAAACTTAACTGATTATTGTAACAAAATCCCTAGTTCGTTAGCTTATTATTGAAAAAGGAAGGAATGAGATACTCAGTTTTCACCTGAGTGGTTAGTGCATCTTCCCTGCTTGAGGACATCCCCAAAGATATTTCTCTTATTACAGGGAATGACCCTACACTGTGAGTTGGGTCAACTGAATTTGGCTACAAAGTTAGCAAGAACACAAGCCAGAGGCAAGTGTCAGTGCTATTACAGTACATAATAGCACAAGCTTTTCCAAACTGGAGTCAAATCCACTTTGACTATATGTAACGTACACAGTGCATAGCACTATTTTGTGCTTGTGAAACTACAAATGCTGCAACTTGGAGCATTACCATGCCAAAAGAGAGCTAATGGGTCATGAACTTCAGACATTGCTCACAACCTTACTCATCAGAAGAATAAGCAATGGTTTTAAACTGCTGTGTCTACCTTTCCTAGTAAGCCACTGCCTGACCTCCTCTAAGAAGCAGAAATATGACTTTCAAAGCAATGAAAAGGAAGTTGTGCACAAATAAGTGTGCTTTCTGAACAGCAAACACCTTTAAAACTGTTTCTTCCCTTAAGACTGCAGTACAGGAGGCATATCTGTAGTTAGCAGTTCACACTGCCAATAGCTCAGACACTGTCCTAAACATCACAAAACACAAATCTTGCTTGCCCTCTGGAATTACACTGCTCTGTGCAAAAGCAATGGGAAAGTCACATGCAAAACAGATCCTTATGTCTCCACACAAAGATGCTGAAAAACTCTGGAAGCTAAATTGACACCAGACTTTTCTCTCTCACTCACATCAGGACAAATCAGTTTGGATCTTAAAGGAGAAAAGCCAGCTTCAAAGACTGTACAAATGAGAAGAGAACAAGGTCATGGCATGGTGCAAGTTCCAAGTCACCTTTTGCCATAAAATACATCTTTGCTAAATATTACTTGAAAATGAAGAAATTGTCACTTACCTGAGGGCCAATCAGACCATTAATTCCTGGGAATCCAGGTTCTCCCTTCTTACCCTGTGTGTTGAACAGAAAAACAAATCTTAGACACTAAGGAAAAAATGACTTGCTGAGACTTTCCAAAATATTTTACCCCCAGACTGATATATCATCAGCATGGAAAACACAAGGGCTAGATATAAGGCATCAGTTACTGGATGTGTAATTCTAGTGGTCTCTGATAAGTGTAATGTCTGTCCAGTTTGTAGATACTGCACTTTCCAGTCCAGATTTTGCTCTTGAAGAAAAAAAAAACAAAAAAAAAACCCAACAGTTTGGAAAACTGTGACTGGTTATCCAAACAAGAGACTGGTTATCTCTGGAGGTACATGAAAAATCATGAAGAACAATTCCTAGCCCTAACATAGCGAGAAGGAAATGATGTTTAATGTTCAACATTTCTCCCACTTCTAACATAAATTTGTTATTTTCAAGCAAAGAAGATTGCATCGCTTTGAAATCACACCAAAATCAATCTAAATACTTGACAATTAATTGAGAAGTTTCTATGGTTTGTAAAATAAAACTTGATAAATATAGTGAGCTGAATATAAGCTGAATGGAACCCAGCCTCTTAAGTATGTACAACAATGGGCAGAATGCCTTTCTAAGCAGTGACCACACTCCCCAGTATTGCAGAAAATTCAAATTCTCTCAATTAATTCCTTGCATATTCAGATCTACCAAGCCTCATAGTCTGTATGTGGCCTTCCCTCCATAGAAGAGGGTTGGTTTCAGGCATCTTTTGGCCTCTATTCCACTCCGCAGTCACATCTGGGTGCTTCCCAAAGAGCATCAGAGAATTGACAGTACTGATATTCAGCCAAGGGTGTTACCACATACAGTACAAAGCTTCATCCCTCCCCAACCAAGCCAAGATGTGTCCTTTGTGCTTCCTGCACTGTCTTATGCATAAAGAAAGAAAATAATTAAGAACTCTGGTGCATGGATGAATATAAAAGATTCACTGTCTCTAAGCCAGAAAAGAAGAACAAACAAGGCATTTCTAATTGAGGTTGGCATTATCACCAAAGGACAGAGCTCACCTAATTCTCTGCAATAAAAAAATTTCCTCCAGACGAACAGGAGAATTTCACTGGTGCAAGGAAAGGATAAGCCAAGTCTTGGAGCATACCCATGGGGGTAGGATCATAGAATCATTAAGGATGGAAAAGATCACTTAGATGATCTAGTCCAATCATGCTCACTAAACCATGTCCCCCAGTCACATGGATGCAGCAGATGTGTCTCCCTTTGGGGTTGACCTCAAGTAGTGGTAAAATACGGAAAATGTCCTAAGTGAGAAAAAAGAGGAAGAAAAGGCAGAGAAAGGATGCCTGAAGAACTAGAGTTAAAGCAGAAGTTTGATTGTTTCTCAGCTCAAAAGTTTACTTGCTGTGTTACTTTGAGTAAGTCATATATTCTGTGACTCAGCCTCCTTGTAAAAATAATCTATCCTTCCCTGACATGTAATAGATACTGAATCATTAATACTTCTGAGGTTGTTAGTAATACACTAGGAGGTTACAAGATAAATCATGTAAATATCTGAAAGTCAGAGAAGTGATTTTTCTCCTCATTTCTACTTCTCATCAAAAATGATTTTCTTTTTTAGAAGGATATTATAATTAAGTAAGTTTTATGTGACTGATGATGTGATTTGTCATGCAGATGTGCAAGTCTGATATATAATTTTTCCTTTATTTTTTTTACTGAAATATGTCCAGAAAAAATTTATGTAATTCCTGTTGACTTAAATGAGTGAAACAAGTAAAATATCACAAGCAAATCAAGTTTACATCATATTTTATCTGATTTTGACTAAGTTCAGTTAGCTGAGATGTCAGAATCTGATCTTTTCCGTAATTTTTTTCACAACAAAAGTGTCATCTCTCATACACAGAAAAGTTTAAAAGGAAAATTAAATGAATTATTATGAAGTGCTTGGGTACCAGGAAGAGTTTGCATTCATTACCAAGCTCCTGATATCAACAGGAATCTACCTAATATACTCAAATACATGCACTATTCATGAGCAGTCCTTCCACTTACTCAACATCTGTCACTTCATTCTTTGTCAAACCCCATTTTCACCTCAGGATCTCACGTCACCACATGAATCAACACGTTTTCTAGGTAAATACTCTAGATGCATTTTGTCAACTGCCAAAGTGACCACAGAAGACACCCCCTTAAAAAATCTTGTATAAAATATTAAAATTAAAATATCTGCACCTCATCTTACAATGCATGTGCAACTTTGGTTCCATTTAGAAACATGAATTCAGAGAGCACAACTGAATGCAGAGCAGAAACTTGATATATAATTGATATATTGTGAAGGAGAATAATGGTATTAGCTCCCAAAGTAATCACCTTAAATCACAGAAACAGAATTATTTGTATTGGAAGGGTCTTTTATAGGGTCATCCAGTTCAAACTCAAATCAGATATTGAAAGCTGGAGAGCATGAATACACCCCATTGTGTACTTAATACGACACCATAATGACTGATTGTCATGATGTTGGCTGGAATAGAGGTCTGAATGATGCCATATTTTAGATTCTTGAGGTGATAACACAGGGATTAGTTGTTGCAGAGTATACCCCTGAACTTTTCAGCTCCTCACACTGCTCTGAAAGCAAGGAGCAGGGGGCACAAGGCGGTGGGAGAGGACAGAAGCAGGACAGGTGGCCCAAACTGACCAAAGAAATATAATATACCAGCAATAAAAGCTGGAGAAAAGAAAGAAAAAGCAGGGAACACTCAGAGTTGATAGCATTTGTCTTCCCAAGAAGTGGTTTCATGTGATGAGTCCTGCTTTCCTCAAAGTGCTGAACATCTGTCTGCTAATGGGAAGGAGTGAATAATTTTCTGGTTTTGCTTTCCTTGAGCACATATCTTCTGCTTTACTTAGAATACTCTCTTAATTACTACCCATGAGTTCTTGCACTTTTACCTTTCCAATGCTCCTCCCCTTCCCACTTGGGGAGAGTAGGCAAGCAGCCGTGCACAACACTGATGCATGACTGATACACAGGACAGCAAAATCCCAATGAGACTCTTAGTGTTGCAACTGAAAAGATGTGAGTAGTGCATAAGGATCTTATATTAGTGGTCCACTGTTGTATGACTTCAATGACTTTATAACTTAAGAGCATTGTCTAGTTGTGCTTTTCTGAATATGCTGCATTTCAAAAACCTGGTCCCATATGATAAAATTATTTGGGGAAGCTGAGGAACGAGTAGAAGCTACAGCTTCTTCCTGAGGTGTTCTTAAAAGCTGAGAAAGGCAGGAAGGACAAATTTTGCCTCCTGGGATAAGTATATACTAGCTGCTCTGTTTCCACACATTGGCCAGCCACACTAATCTGCAGCAGCAATAACAGATGTGAAAGGAGGCTATCCTTTTCTTGAGTATAACACTGAAAAACTTTGCTACTTTTCAAAACACCAAGAAATCCCTTTCAGCAGCATATAATTATATTGACACAGAGACTGAGAGTGTAATTTCCCATTGTGAAGAGAACATTTTGGCTGCTCAGAGGTTAGCCAAAATCAAACTGCAACAGAGTTACTCCATAGTATTACAGCCTGTCTGGAAAGTACAAAAATACTTGCTGGGTGAAATTATACCTATGAGAGCAATGCTCAGTGAAATGTCACATCACCTAATAATATGACAGAGAAAACTAGCAATTATGCTCTGTTACTTACAGCAAGAATCAGCTAAGTGTGTAAGAACATCTACCTTCTACTATATGAAAGATGTTATTTGTCTTCATCAGCAATTTGAATAATAGCACAGTTAAAAATGTGCTTTATTGGAAATGTGTTTACCTCAATGACAGTTACAGTTTATTTTTTGATTTAATCTACACCATCAATCCTTTCTTCTTTCTTTCTATTCATTTACCTAATTTTTACTTCTGTGTTGCTGAACTTTACATGGGGAAGGCAAAATCATCTGAACAGTTCAAGCACCCCCAAATACATATAAACTCAACTAAGCTTTGGAAACTGTCATACAGAAGACATAGAAACAAGGGGAATTGTTAGCTTCACACTGCTAGGAGGGAAACTGGGAAAGGCTCTAGCCTGTTTGTTCTCTTGCTATGCAATACCCTAAACAGCTGTATATTCTCATAGCATGGTTATCACTGAGATTTGGCCCCAACCTTTTGGTACCAAATACATAGAGGGAACCTTAACTGTGAATTAATATAACTGCTAGCATAAATGCTAGGTTAGATGATAGGATTATGCTTTCAGTCATGTTCCTTTACCTGTATATAAACAGCAGTGGTAACCAATAGTTGAACTCCCCAAAGGCACCTTTTACAGGCTCTGAACATAGGCAATAAATTAAGAATCAAGAGCATCTTCGTGGCTTGAGAATGCAAATACCATTGGGGATAGCCAGCATGTGGGTGATTACATGGAACTGCTATAATAAAGAGAAATAAAAACCATTAGGACTACTGGACATTAAGAGAAGTCACACCTTTGAACTGCCTCTTTCCAAAAAGTCTGCCTTGTTTGCTGGGCAAACTGTTTTTCTTCTGGATTATCTCCCTAATGTTGGTATCTCCAGGGGGAGATGTGCTATCAGCACTTTCTTTCTCAATTCATATTATGAGAAGTCAGAACAGGAATATCATAGGCAACAACTCACCTAAAGAGGAGAAAGGGAGGTCAAGAAGGGGAAAGTCTAATACCTGTTTTTCCGTCCTGCTATTAAAACATAAAGAAGAGTTCAGTAGCCCCCAGAGATCTGGGAAATTTATCTCCAACATTACAGCTAACAGTGATAAAACTATCAACCTCTCTTCTGGGCAGAGGGTATGCCCTGAACCCAGTAATCCCCAGTTTTAACAGAACCCTTCAGACTAAACTGTAAAACAAATACGTAGCACTTACTGAGACTCAGCCTTGTTAATCTGGTTGTAAAGAGTCAAGAAGGTTGATAAGCTTTTTGTGCTGCTCTGATTTCAGGGATAAACATTCAGGGGATGT